TATACATACAACAAGTCATTCAAATTATTTCAAAATGTGTTTTGGTGCATGTTAATTCCACTGCTTATCAAACAGTATAAGGTAATGTTTTCTTCATGGTAAATTTGACTTAAAAGTTTGTCATCATGACTTTTCATATTTTGATATGATCATATTTCTTCATATTTGGGAGAGGGCATAAATTACGGGGCACTTCCAACTCAGTGCTGATACATAAAAAATTATTTCTGATTTTTTTTTTTTTCCTCCTTTACACAGAGAAGATGACTGAATACCAACAAAACCCAAAATGTAATGTTTACCCATGAACATATGGTTTTTATTAAAACAGATACAAGGATCCAGCTCAAAAAACACTGAAAATACAGTTTTTAAAAATGTATTGCTGTTGCTTAGAACAAATTCATCACTGGTTACCTCCTGTCTGAACAAATAATAGGAGTACAGAAGTTAATGTCTTTGAGAAGAGTGCTCTCTGGGAGTAAAATTTATAGATTTTTAATGCTGCCATCAAGTGACAGAAGCATTAAGAAAGGAAAATAATTGGGTCAGGAGCCAACATACACATTTCCCTGACCAAATACAATGAATCAATTATCAAAACAATATAAAAACTTAATTTATCTTACTACCATGAAGCAAATGGAAAAAAAAAAAAAAAAAAGAAATATGTTAGTTGATTTGTATAATATGTGGACCATTTAAAAGGTATGTAGAATTTTAAAAAGAAGCATCAAACTCTAAATAAAAATTGCATCCATTCTGCTAAAATAATTAATAAGAATATAACATTCATAATAAATATTGGTATTTCAAAACAAAACTGGGAGGGTTAGAATTATATTAGACTGAAGGAAGAGTACAATTAATACTATCATAATGAAAACCTCACCTTTTTTTTAGAAAAAAGGTGAGGATCAGCTTACAAATAGGTGAAGAAAAGTATCAAGAATTGAAAAATTGTGTCAGATATGTAAATTTAATACTATCAACAATAAAAATGTAAGTTTAAATAACCTTGCTTCCAGCCACCCAAAAGAGGCAATTTTTACTTTCTATGCACTATTTAAAACATCAATTTACTATTATTCAAGACTGATCTGTATTTTTAGTTGCCTTTCCTTTCAGGAAAAAGTTTATATTGTTTTGATTTTTTACATTTCCCCCCAACTCTCTTGAAATTTACAGGAGAATGATATGCATTTTTGATCTACACCATTTCCAATTTATAAGTATATCAGATTATAATCCCATAGCATATTGGGAAGTATTACATTTACTGAGATAGTTACAAAAGCTATAATAATGTGAGTCAGGTATTGTAGTAATTCTACATAGTTAATTATGCAATTAATAGATATAACCATAAAAAATTAGTTACTACAGAAAAGTGATAATAGATTAATTTTAAATTATAGATAAGCAATAAATATTCAAAACCAAAATTCAACAGATCAAATAGTTTATTGACATCACATACAAATAAATACATTTTTTCGATGAATTCAGTTTGAAAATTTAACCCATTTTACAAATGTAACAATAACACTGCATTTAACTCACAACATATCATGTTAGAGCATGGCTATGGCTGAAAGACATCTAACATAGATGAAACTAGTTAACATGCTACTAAGTATGGCACTTTATGCACTTTCAACACAACAGTAGTATTTAAAACAAATAATGCCATGCAGCATCGCATTTATTTGATTCTTTTTTAGAGGAAACTATGAGATCATTCAGCAAATACATTTTATAGACCACTTTTTTTAAACATCTTGATAAGATTAAGTTAAAATTTCAACACAGTGCACAAACGTCGTGCATATAATCAAGTACACTTTCATGATATAAGTACTGCTGAATCATGTTGAGGGCACTGTCTTTAAGCTAAAATTTCAACATAGGACACAGAAATCATGTATACAATCAGGTACATATGTTAGAAGCACCACTCAGTCATGTTGAAGGTACAGTCTTCTACACTTTTTAAAAGCAACATATTATATAAAGGATTTGAATGTAAAAATAAATTAAAGGAAAAATGAATAAACAATGTGATCTGGTGTCATAATTTAAGATAACCAAGGCATAAGCATATTAATTAGTATTTAAATTAAACTTTTCCAAATTTTTGCCTGTAAGCTAAGAAATGTCTAAAGAAAAGTTAAATGAGTTTATTCTTAATGAAGAGAATTCATCTGATTGTAACTCAACCATCTTCTAGTTTGACCTTAAACTGATATAGCAAAAAAGTTATCCTTAACTTATATTGAATGGGTCCTAACAGCTCATAATAAAAATGACACCTTTTGTGTAATCTACTAGAAAATAAATTATTTTATTACTTCACAGCTTCAGCGCAAGTATTAGGCAATTTATATATATATATAAACAATTACTCATATAAACAAAAGATATATTAATTTGCTCAATATTTTTATAAAAAATTGTGAAAATACTAAGTTACACATTATATTCGCAAAATTAACAAAAAAGTAACATGATAAAACCTGACCTTCCTGAACCTAAAGTCCTGAGAATCTTATGAATACAGCAAATGACTTACATTTATTAAAAACAAAAAGAAAAGAGAGAGCTTATTATTTAAAAGTAGGTTTTGAATCATTATAAATATATATCTTAAATACATTTCCAACCTAGCCTTTTTTAATTTAAGATTAGAATATTAATTAATGCACCGTGAACCAAGACCTTTCAATCACAAAAAGGATGATAATCTCTGACTGTTATTCAAATACTTAGTATTTTAATACTTAAACACAAATTAAATTTATTAAGACAATTGATATGGACAGTTTTTCTTTACTTAATGTGTGATCCTACCAGTGGCTAAGACTGCTGAATACTGGTAGTTTGACCCATTCAAACCTATGAAAATGAGCTAGCTGCATGATTTTTCATCATGTGTAACATGAATACTTGCCAGTTTTCCTTGGAAAGTCCTCCATGAAAGAATCCTTCCTGTTAAGCGTTTTGCCATTTTCAAAAAACCTAAGCAAACTTTCACTAGATGTGAATTTTTTTTTAAACAAAAAAGTTATTCATTGAATACTCATATTTTCAAAATATAATATTTGCCAATAATTAAGCATAAACAGCATATAATGGATTGTATGCAATTGTATAAAAGTGAAAAAAATTATTATGTGAATAAATTAATTTCATATTAAAATAATGATTAGTGAATAAATTAATTTCAAATATGAAATGAAATTATCATTTCATATTTGCATTTGTAATACTGAATTAAAATTCAGTTAATGATGACAATTTTTTTTCAACATAAATCAATTTTGAAACTAATCATTATGTGCAAAATAATAAAAAAGCTTCTGCTTTCACATTACATATATCTCTAAAATACATTCTTATCATATAAAATTAAGACCAGTTACATATGTCATAACTCCTAAAATAATTTGAGAATTAATATAGTGTAACAAGTTCTTAAATAGTTTTTTTCAAAAAGAGAGAGGAAAATTTGGTCACATTGTTTGTTAAAAATTAAACAGAATCATATGAGTAAAAACTATGCATTCATATGTTTCAGTACACAATTCTTTCCATTTGACTTTAATTCTTAAATAACTCTTTTTTAATTCTGATTAAAATAGAAGAATTATACAAATCACCAAATGCTATAAACAGATGGGCCCAAATTCAAGATTCAGCATAAATTAGCAACTACTACCATACTTTTTAATAAATACATTGTTTTAAAATACCCATATATTTACTTTCCATTTAAAATACGCACACACCAATTCCAACACAACATGAATTACAAAGCTGCCTATGTATGTTAAATAAATATCTTCAGCCACCTTTTTGTCCCATAAGATATGATTATTCCAAAGAGGAATAAACTTAAGTATCAATAAATGCCTCAAATTTACTCATAGCTTGTTAATTCATTTACTGAAATAAAGCAAGAAATAGATTTAGACTAATAATATAAAAACTATACATTCAGCTGATTCTTAATTTAACACTTTAAATTCTGTGAGGAAGAGGAGTTAAGAAAAACATTTTTCATGAATACCACTTGCAGAGTTCCAAAAAAATATTTTGCAGTTCCCTAATCTTTCAATATTTCTCCATGCAGTCTACTGTCTTTTAAGTGGCAAGTTCTGAGACTACAAAATTTATTAATTTGTACCAGAAAATTTATCATCACATATCCAACTTGAAAACTATTTTGCTATTTTTAATCATCAGGTGAAAATTTTATAAATGTGAATATAAGTGGGAAAATCCTTAACAGTGAAAGTTTCATAGCTGCGAAAATAATGTGTTATGATTGTGCAATAATCTTTAAGAAGTTTACAAATATGACTGAACACCAAAGCCAAATTACTGGCCTAATTTGCATACTCATTACATGAGACATCACAGTAATACAGCTTTCACAGAAAGCATTATTTATACTGCACAATGCAAAATGTACAGATTAAGACTTCTAAAATTACAAAGCAATTTTACACCAGATTAATTCAAATATAATGTAAGATTTTTCAAATATTAAAAGCATAAAATTCCTTATTTTCAGGAATAAAGTACAATTATACAAATACATGGGATTTTATACAGAAGGAAAATTAAACTCATGTCGTACAGTCATTGAAATACACATTAAAGTACATATTAGCTTGTCTTTTTAATAAATAAATGTAAAGCCCCAGAATGTTATAATTAAATACTTTATTTAAAGTAAAATAATAATATTTTTGAGGTTTTACCTGAATTACTTGTTTCATAAAACATCTGAGCAGAAACTACTATAGAGTGAAACACATAAGCTGATTTTAAAACATTCAAATTTACATCCATAATTATTAAAAAAAGTACTTACAACTACTCTACCTACCTAATTCTTTTAAATAACATTAACATTCTATGAATAACATAATTTATAAACAAAAGAAAAAAATTACATAAAAATAGTATCAAACATTAAATGTTTAAAAGAGAGGATGAATTAAGAAACTTAATAAATACAATTACATGCTACAACAAGAGTTCTTCAAAAATATTTACAAGAATTCACACATGATTTTATTAAATACAAATCTGATTACTGAAATTAAAACTTGGACAGAGGAATCTAAGACCAATTTAATATAAAAAAAGATACAGCTAAATTTAAGAGATATTACATAGATTCATTTCTAAATCAGTGGTATGTGATAGCTATAAAACTCTTAGCTAAACCTATACAATTTCAAACCAGCAATCCAATAAAATTCAGTTACTTTCTTAATTTGACAGAAGCATGGTGAGATGTGATGAATGTGCTGTAATTATAATATAATAATAGTACATAAAATTCATGTCAAGACTATAACAAAATAATTGGTACTGCTTCTTAAAAATTGAATTGAAAACACTGTGTGCAGTTTTTAAAAATATTTATTTGAAGTCAAGTTTATAATTTAATTTCATACTATGACCACTAAAGATTGTTTACTTATCTTGAATTCTGTATGTAAAATTTTCAATTGTTTCAAGTTCATCATCTTTACCATTTCTTATTTTCAATATCTTTATAACTAAAAACATTAAAATTTAAGCATAAAGAATAAAACATTTGAATTTTTTTGTTCTTGTTATAACATATTTAAATTTTAATACTGAGCATCAGTATTAAAATAATATTGATAAGTGCTGTAAAATGTTTAACAAAAAATTTTGAAGAAAGTTTAAAATTTTACAGAACCTATATTTATCTGAAAATATATAAACCTTAAGTGGAATTACATAATGTTTCAATTGGTTACCATAACTATGGAATAGCTGTGTAAGGTTAGAATTAACGTCTTACATAATTAAATATGGCACATAAATCAAAATGCTTAATGGTCAGAATGTTTTATGAAACAATGATGAATTGAAAAAAAAAATCACAATCATGGGCACTAAAGATTGTCCGTGTCATGATTGTTTTGGTTACTTATTCAGAGCATTACTCTAAATGCTCACAATTTCATTCATCATTCTCGTTAAGAGAATGCTAACTGAATTCAGATTTCTTTAACATCAATACGTTCATAATAGCAATTATGAAACATTATTCTGACTATTTAATTCAAAAAAAAGGGGGGGGTGTGAACAAATCACTCTTTCTTTACATGCTGATTCCTGCAAAAAAGCACAATTTATGACCCGTGAGAAAGATCCTTTTCTAGCCACAATGGTATAGGTTGTCTGAGTTTTGTGAGCAGTTTAGAAAGAGCAATATTATGGGGCAGATAAAAGGCCTTGAGGAACTTCTCCGTTTGAGGATCCACAGGGGGATAAAGTCGTCCTTTACTTCTTCCCAGGCACTTAGTATTATTTCGCTCCTGACTAACTTGGCAGAAAAACCCCTTTTTTGGATCATACCTACAACAAAAGTAACAATTTTCAATGATCTACCTAGATGCATCTCTTTCAATGAATAAAAAGAAATATTATTCATTTCATAATATTTTCATTTCAAAATTATACTAATAACATATATGTGATGTTAAACTTACGTAATTTATGAACAGTTTACTTTACATTAATGGAAATGTGAAGAAAAAATACAGATTTGAAAAATACATACAACATTATGCTTATTATAAAGCAAATGTATAAGCAGAAAAATCTTTTAAATTAAAACTGTGCAAAAATTTTCAGAATTCAGTCATTAATTTTAAAAATAACAGTCATCGAAAAATACATTTTGTGCCTGCTGTAAACTAATAATATCACAAAAAATTATTGTTCAAGAAATTGGGTCATCATTCTAAGAAACATTTTACATTACAATATACAGTCAAAAGTCATTAATCCGGACTCGTCGGGACTTCGGCGATTCCAGATTATCGATTTTTCCGGATTATAGATCATCAGTTTAAATCTCGTAAGATGGCATGCAGAAATTCTAAAATTAAAAATATGAAACTGTAATTTATGAAATAAAGAACAATTATGATCTAAAGGGTATCAAAATTTACAAAAAAAAAAGCTTAATATTTATTTGTTTACTTTGTTAAACATTTCTCTCAATGTAAGTTGTTTAAGTTGCTTCATTTTATGTGATAATACTTTCTCTTTAATTCTATAAAAAGACATAATTTCTTGTTCAGTTACAAAGTTCCGCTGTTCAAGTCCCGTTAACTGCTGTGCTGAGAATACCGACTAACTTGTCAATCGAAATTTTTTGTTTTCACTAACCTCTCTGTCACATTCTTCATGTCTTTATCCATTTTTTGCAGCAATTCCACATTTTGTTTGTTGGACATCAAAACATACTTTCGTTTTGTAGATTCTTTGGAAGTTCCAGCATCGGAAATTCTATTTGACATAATCGAAATTTCAAGTTTACTTTTATAAAATTGCTCTTACAGTCTGCAAAAAATAATAAGCAGGATCCAATTCGAAGATTAAGGAACAACGCAATCATTAACATTAACTGAAATAGATAATTAGATAATTTTAGCTTACACTGTCCGTTATACATTAAACGCGCAGGCGAAAATGTATTCTGCACTTGCGCACACGCATATGCGCAGTAGTCAAGGTCTTACGCGCACGCGTAAAACGCCTATGCGCATGTGCCAATGCGGCGCATGCACAGAAAGTTTTTAGCTTTGAGGTCCGAATTAACGACTTTTGACTGTATTGTCAAAACTCACAACAGATTACATAAGTCTATTTTTTCTCACTTTTAAATAATTTCAGATGTTAAACATAAGTATTAAATCTCAATCACCAAAAAGAAAAATAAATAAATAAATAAAAGCAAAGAAATGATATAGCTCACTACTATCTCCTAATCTGATACATAAATATCTCTGAAATGACTAAGGTTAAATCATGAAGATAAAACATTATCTGCATAATATTTATGGAGTTAAAATAAAAATTATAAAATAAAGAATGAAAATAAGCTTGCCTATTAAAAACCTGCTAAAAGTACTTTTTATTTCTTTAAACCATGCATAGCCCTGAACCTCATAGGGATTGCTGAATTGGGAATGGCTTATTAAAGAATGATAAAATATTTCAAATGTGTAGAAAACAGCAAAGTAACCTTTGAAAACACAGCCTCAAATAAGCTGTAGATAATGGCTTAAAAGATGCACTGAATGATATACAGTACACATATAAATGTTTAAATAACACATATAAATAATAATAACACATATAAATAATATGTTTCACTTTTTGGCTATTTCTAGGGAGGTCTAGTTTAGTTTAAATAAACCAAATCATAGCAAAGCACTTGAGGGCTATCTTCTTAAAAGGAGGAAAGTCTAAGACTTTCTACAGTAAACTAGCTTGTGTACACTTTATACATGGGGAAAAACCATAAAAGTGCCTAAGCCAGCCAGTTCACTGGGATTTGAATCTTGGACCAAATCACTAACGTTCAGCAACTTTATCACTCGCCTGCTGATGGGCCCATTTCTAGGGAGATTAAATGTTTCATAATTATAAATGTAACTGTATACACTGGAGAATGTCAGTGAATGTTAAATAAAGCCTTTTAAAAATAAGCACCTTATTATAATTTTTAATCTGCTTTCTGAGTTACACGATATTCATAAGGTCCCAAAGTAATTTAAATTTGGGGGGATGTCGAACTTATAAAAAGTTCTGAACTAATACTTAAGGTACTAAATTCCTTGTTAACATCTTACTCCTCCTTCCATCCAACAGTCCTAATTTTCTAAACACAGATTTAAAAAACCAAAAAATTCAAACTAATATGAACCAAAATAGTAACATATATAAAAGGGTTTAGTTATGATAATGGACAGTAGAACAATAGCCATTACTTCTCATCAAGTTAAAAATCAGTTCTGATATTAACAACATTCCCCCATTCTACATTTCAAATTACTGTAGCTAAAGTATCATATGCAATTATTACCATACTTGCCAACCTATGATACTCAAAAATCAGGAGATTTTTCACAATGTTTAAAAAGACTTTTAAATGATAAAAATATGGTTTTTAATAATGAATTAACTTTAAATAGTAACTAATTCTTAAATGCAAGCAACACAAAAATACCTTACACATAAAAAAAAAACATTTTTATTACTTGCATCGTTTAAGGGGGAAAAAAAGGAGGGAATTTTAGTTTAGAAAATTAGGAAGTTTCTCTCTTCACTGCAATTGCCACGTAGGCCTGCTTTTGCTAAGAAAAGTTTTTCTAATGTGTCATCACTAATATTAGATCTAAATTTAGTCCTTGTTTACGCAACAACACTGAAAATCCTCTCACACTCTGCACTACTATGGGGGACTGTCAAGATGGCCAACACAGTTCTAGACAGTTGACTATATTTTAAAATTCCATCAGCACCTGTCAGTTTTCCAATTAAACTCCACTGGGTGTCAATGCTAGCTGATTTTATAACTTCATTCAAGTTTTCTAATTGTAAACTGCTGTTATGCAGCTGTTGGAACTGTTTGTTTCAATTTTTCCTTCCTTTTAGAACTCCTTTCAAGATATAATAAATATCAACAATGTGTTCATCCACATTTATTGGTAAAGACGCTGCTGCCCCTTTTTTCAGCTGCTAAATTTAAGAGGTGACAGGTGCACCTCATAATCTGCAAATCTGAATTTTCCTTTCTTAAGATGCTTGCAACACCAGTCTTCAAACCTACCAATACTGGTGCATTATTGGCACCAAGTGCTAAGCAATTATCCACAGGGCCTGCATTTTCTTTTAAAGTTTAATAATTAACTGTGGTATATTAAAGCCTGTCAAATGTCCTTCTAAAATGGGGACAGAAAGTAAACTGCACTCAATTTCTGAAGAATCTGGATTAAAAAAAGAAACAACAATTGGATACAGTTTTGAATCGGTATTATTGCTTCCATCCGTAGAGAGGCAGAACGGAGCTGTTTTTGTGCAATCAATAACTGAAGATTTATTTTTCAAAAACCATTTCTTTAACAATTGCAGCACCTGTTTTGGTTCTTGCACTTGAGTATTTCTTAGCAATTTCACTATTGGGAAACATTTTTCTAAATAAAGCTGCAGCGTGATCCGATGCATTCAGTGGCAGGTTGTGCTCCAGTAAAAAGGAAGAGAACAGACATTCTGCATTAATAACTTTTTGGTCCTTTGTTTTCGTTTTTTTAAAAAACAACTCATATTATCCTTGTGTTTTTGTGTTCGCACGTGTTTGAGAACATCCGCCCTTCCACATTGCGAATTCGAAAAATCGCAATGACAGGCGGTGCACATCGCAAATTTATTACATTTCCTTGAGGAAATAATGGAAGGAAAGTCAACTGTACGGATTTTTGAAACGTACACGAAGTATTTCACCTTTCTCGCAGACATAACAAAAGATGATAAATTCTAAAATTATTTCCTGAAGGCATGTGTACTCGCACAACTCAGGCACAAAATTGAACGAAATAACTAAAGAACATCCAAATAACAGCTTGCCTTGTCCTCATTGGCTAATATATGCCAGCATGACACACAGAGGGTTCGATGCCTATGGAGCACTGGACGACGTTTCTGGATACGTATAATGCTCTCACTCACAAAAGCAGAAGTTATTTGATTCGCAAGGATTTGTTTTAGATATAACCTAGAGAGAATTCAATTGCTTTCAGACGTCCAAAATCACTTTTTCTTGTTCATATAACAAAGTATTAAGCCAAGTTCCATAAAAATCGTGAGAAATTTTAAAAATAAGAAAAAGTCAGGAGAAATATATTGTAAATCGGGTTGGTGGGAGATCGGTCGAAAATCGGGAGAGTTGGCAACTCTGTATTACACACATACAAGCATGCAGAGGTCATACTTTTAATAGGGGTCACAAAGGGATAAAAAAGCACACAAAATCAATCAATGCACACTAAACATGAATTTCCAAGTTTTACTGGCATAAAACAAGGCACAAATTTGATAAACACAGATTAAGCAGGATCAAGATTTTATGGCATAACACACGGGAATAATGATCATACAAATTGAATAACCATCAATTAAAATGGAAATTCCAAATTTTAATGGATAACATATAAGGATAAAACACAGATTAAATTAGAGGTCCCAGAAAATTGTATTTATGGTTCACAAAATTATATTTTAAAATTTGGTTTGGTTTATTCAATTATGGCAAAACACTCGAAGGCTATCTGCCTAAGGGGAGGTATGCCTTCATGGGGGACTTTCTACGGAAAAATGACTCATATATATGTTACACATGAGGAAAACCAGGAAAACACCCACGTAACCAGCCTGTTCACAGAATTTGAACCTCCGACCAAACTACCAGAAGTTGCATTTATGAAGTAATGATAAAAAACATACAGTTCATAATTAGAGATTAGTATAAAATTCCAAGTTTTACATATGAACACAAAGCACATGACATTTAACAAAATTATAATAAATGAAAAATAATTGCAAAAAAAAATTATTGTAATATGTCTTAAATATAAATAGCAATAGAAATTTTAAGCGTACTGAAGAGATTTTCTAGTCTGTTGATGTGGGAAAAAAAAAAAAAATCAAAACAGCATAATATATTTGCACTTCAATGTCTTTTTATTTTATAGCTTTATTAATATTTTAAAACTTATTCTCATCCTACACACTATTATCTTACCTCAAATGGTCTTTATAGTTGAGGAAAGGTTTTATTTTTAGGAACTGTTGCAATTTGCTCATAACAGCCACAGGATCTGATTTCAGTTCCTCACCATCAATTATAAGTAACTAAAAAAAATTTAAAGTTTAGCTATTGTATATATAATGAAATATTAGACAACTGTAAGATACATATTTGATTTTTTTTTTTTTTAACTTTTACAAATATTGGAAACTACTGTTAACTCAAAACTGACACTGAGAGATTTCATGATGTTTTTGATGAATGCCATCTTGCAGTTTAAAAAGACCACACAGAAACTTATCAAATTCTGAGCATACTGTACTAAGCTTTATTTCCCATCAATAATATAAAAAAATAATTATATTCATTACTTTAATAATCAATTTTTTTTTTAAAAGTAGAACTCATTTTATTAAAAAAATTATTCCATCCAATACATATTCAAAATGTACGAGGGCCATCCAGGAAGTAGATTACGTTTCCGTCTGTGTCCGCTAGGGGCGGGGCTAGCGCGGCCATCTTGGGGTCAGAGCGTTGCGCAGCTCAGTCTGCATCTAGCCGTGCTAGTGAGAGGTTCGTGCTGTGCTCCGTTCAGATACTGTGACGGTTTGAAATGTCTGCGTTAATTGAAAAATCCCCCGCGAGGTGCGCTCAGTAATAAGGTTTCTGACTGCAAAAAACCGTAAACCGATAGAAATCTATCGGCAGCTTCGTGAAGTGTATGGGGACAACATTATCACTGAAGGTGGAGTGCGTCAGTGGGTCATAAGATTTCAAAAATGGCCGAACCAATGTTCACGACGAAGATCGAAGTGGGAGACCCAGCATAGTGACCGCCGAACTTCTCGAAAAAGTCGATGCTAAGTCCGTGAAAATCGAAATTTCACAATAACGGAACTTTCTTCTTTCTTTGAGTTTTCCATTCCACAAATTTCGCGAAGTTTTGTTGCACGAAATCATCAGCGAAAAGCTTGGTTACCACAAGTTTTGTGCAAGATGGATTCCAAAAATCTTGACAGAGGACCACAAAAATCAGCGAATGGCTGCTGCAGCGTTGAACTTTTTGGACGCTTACCATAAGGATGGTGACTCTTTACTCGATCGCATCGTTACTGGTGACGAAACATGGGTGAAACATGTGAACTGTGAAACGAAATTGCAATCAATGCAGTGGGGGCACACAAGTTCTCCCCAAAAACCCAAGAAATGCATGCAAACAATGTCGGCAAGGAAGATGATGGCGACTGTTTTTTGGGACAGAAAAGGTGTAATTTTGGTGGACTTCCTGGAAAGAGGCACTACAATAAACTCTCAAAGGTATTGCCAAACTCTCCAAAAACTCAGAAGAGCAATTCAAAACAAGCGCAGAGGAATGTTGAGCTCTAAGATCTTGTTGATTCACGACAACGCCCGGCCCCACACGGCAAATGTCACTCGTAAAGTTCTTGAATCTTTTAAGTGGGAGTTTTTCCGTTTCCTCATCCGCCGTACAGTCCCGACCTGGCACCGAGCGACTTCCACCTATTCCCAGCAATGAAGAAGTGGCTGGCTATGCAGCGTTTTGATGACGACGCACAGCTGCAAGAAGAGGTAACGAAGTGGTTGAAGGCGCAGGCGGCCGAATTTTTCGACGAAGGAATTTCCAAGCTCGTACATCGCTACGATAAATGCCTTAATTTGTATGGTGACTATGTAGAAAAGTAGTATTTGAGTGTGGCTTTCATCTGTATATAATAAAATTTGTTTCCTATACTTTGTTTATTTTTTTATTCCAAAACGTAATCTACTTTCTGGATAGCCCTCGTATTATCGTACATTTTTTAATTCAAATTTGTTTTTAATATTTTCCAATATCCCCCACCCAATGAAAAGTTTTAAAATTGAAATTTAGAAATAAAAAACTGCAAAAACAAAATTGCCTCACACACTATCTATTCTAAAATATCAAATGAGGAAATACATTCAAAACAAATTTTTAGCATGCCCCCAGATACAGAAGCTTTGGCTCAAGTCTAATTATAAATATCTGCATTTCGTAATTTTCATTTTTGTAAGTGAAAATTGCAAAGTATGTATCACAATAGTTAAGTGTATGCAAAGTATGTATCACAATACTTATACTTAAGCAAAACAGAATTTCTGCTACTTCATTTGTAAAGAAAAGTTTTATATATAATCAATACAGATTACTATATGAATAAAAGTCCGGCAATTAAATTACAGTGCTGTGAAAATAAACTTGCATACATTTATGAATCTTATAGCTAAAATACTCATCAAAAGAATCAGAACCGCGATATAATAAAATTATAACTATAATAAAATTAGTGTAATATCTATAATAAAATTAGTGTAATATCAAACAGGGTAAAACTACTAAGAATCAAATTCAAAATTAATCATACACATGAAATGGTAGCGGAAAATACATCTCACGTCTTCTTGGTTAATAAGAGTAAAAAAAGCACACTAGTATTCTACAATTAAAATTTTCATAAAATACATTACTGAAATTGTAAGTTTCAAAAAACTTAATTTTATAAAGTAAACCTTTTAACTTAAGGTATGTTTGAATATTTTTATTAGTATTTTAACCCCCAGGAGACTAATCATCCATACATTTTATGACTTTATTCACCCACTTTTGGATTTTTATACAGACACTTTTGAATTTGATTTGAGATTTGCACTTTAAACTGAACTTTATTTAACTTTATAACATTTCCACATATAGATGACTGATTTATTTATATGCTTTATTGAAGCATTTATATGTTTTATTTATTTATTTATATGCATTATTTTTATATTATTTCAATAAAAAGTCACATGTTTGAACAATAATGGATATTAAGTTTTAGCATAAATTATAAGTTTGGAATCCAAAATAATAAAATACTTTTATTAACTTTCTTACCGAATGTGTATATGTGGCGAATGTAAACTAGATATTAAGAGCTTTATAATTCTACTAATTTTAATAGAGATATATTTTAACACCTTGTATCTGAAAAACAACAGAGCAACATTTAATGGAATTATGAACACAATTATAATACATTTTAATGTTATTTGTTGCCATGTGACTTATGAAGGTGAATGGAGAATTCAATATTTGCAAGAAGCTATAAAAAAACTGGGTTTAAAACTTTAAAAAAAATGACAATATGAGCAGTACTTTTTCATCTTTACAAGCAAAATTTTTAAATTGACATTTTCAAAATTGCAAAATGCTGTCAAGAGAGAATCCCTCCTTCCCTCCACCCAGAAAAATTCAGACTTACTAATATGTGACTGAGTAAGTAGTGTTTGAATGCTATAAGTAGCTGTTATTTGAACTGTAAAGACGAGTTCAAATAATTTTGCAAATATGTGAGAAGTTTAGCACTGAAATGGCTAGAATTATATTTGAAATGTAGATGAAGAATAAAAACATTTTAAATTATTTTACTTTTTGACACAAAATGTTGATTTCATAAATTTTATCAATGATTATTCATTCTCAAAGCATCTTTTATTCACCTCTCAAAGCATCTCTTATTGGAATAGATTTCCATACTCAAAGGAATACATTTTAAAAATAAATTTGCATTTTTCTCAAAGAAAATTGTTAAAAGAGTTTTCATACGTTTAAAAAAAAGTGATAAAATAATTTAATTGACGTACTTGTTGAGGAGAATAAAATGACAGCCATCGATCTAAATGCTGAGCGTACATTCCAGGCATAAGGCAACGATTTCGAAGTTCCCTTAATGCTCGATGCCCTCGGTCACCGGTGGAAACAATTTCTTGAAAGCTGTAGTTTAAAGCTGTTGGATCTTTGTGAGCTCTCATGTGCTAAAATTTGTACATACAGATATAATGTCATAGTCTCACATGAAAACATTTAACATATAACAAAGACTGTATCTCAGAATTATATCTTTCACTACATTTGTATCAAACTAGCATTTTTATTGCTGGTACTAAAGGCAAAATACAATATTATCACACCATCCAAATACTGACATTCTTTAGATTATTTTCTCTAATACTCTTATAGAATCGCATTTTATTGCTCCAGAGATGGTTAATGTTCAACTTTTAGTAAATAAAGACAAACTAAAATGAAATACAAGTTTGAATTGTAAGTAAAGAAATTTAAAACATAAAAGTCATTTCCAACAACATGATTTAAATCTATAAAAACTCTTCTTACATATAAATAAATTAATCAATACTTTTAATGATAGCAAAATTTGATTTTAATGTTAGGTAATAAATAAACACACATTTTAATCTAACAAATGAATTTATTAAAACAGTTCTCAAATCTTTCAACTCTATGCCTTTATCTAATCAAAGAAACTCTTCCGCCTTTATAACAAGGTGACTTATATCACATTACTATATTATTCCAATGGGTAAAAAATTACTATAATAACCATAGAATAATATATATAGTACAAAATACAAAAGTTCAAAGATTAGGGATCAGATGATGATTCCTGACATTTAATCTTTTAGCCCTCTTTTTCATCCATCCATCCACTGCCATTTTCTAAGTGACCTACAATATGCTTAAAGTGGACAATGGTATCTTTTAAATGTTAATCCCTCTCTAATTGGCATCGATTTTGTTACCAGAATTATTAATTATACAGCCTATCTACTTATTAGTTACATCCCTGCAATTTTTATCCTCCAACAGCCAAATATTTGTTAAGCACTGGTCAGGACTGGTGCAAGTCATCAGTAATTTAGCCATCTCATCAATGAGAATACTGCCCAAAATGCACCACAGGGAATAAACTCCTGCTGTATTTCCTCATGCATTTTTATCCCTAGCATTTAAGTGTCATGTTTAGAATTTTTTTTAATATTTGCATAATTTTCCCATTCATCTATTATATAAAATTTATTTCTCTGAGAGTTAGTTTGTTAGTAAATTGTATTACCGTAATAATTTTTTTTTTTTTTTTTTTTTGTTTTTATTATGTGTATTCAATTTGTATTTGCACTTTTGTTTTAACATTTCATCCTTTTTTACTTTCTCTTACATTTATTCTTTAACTTGTGCAGGTTCTTCTTTACACTACCCAGTGTGTCAGGTGTTCTCAAGAAACTTTCAAAACTTGTGATTTCACCTTACTTCTATTATTTATGTTCCAGCTCAATATAGCCTTATTTTTTTAAAAAATCCAGGTCTTTGGTTTCCCTCTTCTTTCCTTCCTTATCCTTTCTCTTGGAAACTGCATTCAAGACTCATTCATGCAAAGTGCCACTGGGGCTTTACAATGTCATACAGCCGCACACTTCATGCTCTGCATGATATTCGTGGTTTTAACAACATTGATTTCCTTTTATACGGTTCCCTTCTAAGGTTCTTTCTTTCTAGAATTGAGAATTCCCAGAGTACCATGAATTTTCAGAATTATGGGGAAAGAAAATAATCATAATTATTTTTTTTTTTTAAATTTTTTTATTATTATTATTATTCATTGAAATTAACAGCATCATACCTGTGAGTAGACTGTTTGGTATTAAACCTACTTTGATTTGAAACTTACGAACAAAAAGATACACTGTTAAGGGAAAATCAGAGCAAAGGGCGTTTCAGGGACTGAAAACTGGAAAATTTTCCGAAATTAATTTAAGGTGCTCAATTACATGGTATAGCTATGTTGTGTAAAGTGATTGATGCAAATTAAAATGAAGAAGCATAATATTACAGTCCAACAATTCAAAATGAGCAGAGAATGGATGGATCGTTTCATGAGAAGAAATTGATTCCTTCTCCTTTAAGTGTGTCTGTGTGTGTGTATTTAATTATAGCAAAGCACACTAGGGCTATCTGCCTAAGAGGAGGGATGCCTTTCGTGGAGGACTTTCTAAGAGAAACTGGCTCGTATACACGTTACACATGGGGAAAACCCCGAAAACACCCATGCAGCCAGCCCGTTCGCGGGATTCGAACCTCGGACTGAACTACCAGTGTTCAGCGATTTTTCCGCTCGGCCGCTCTTCTCCTTTAAGAAAAACAATGCTGTGCACAATGGCTACCACAGGTTTATAAAGAAAATGTGTTAGAACTTCACATATTTGTGATCCAGCAAAGAAAAATTACAATTACAGTCATGGACATACAGGAAATGCACATCAAACTCCTGTATTTTTGCCATGCCTAATAATGCTACAGTTAAGCAAAACGGGGAAACTTCTGTATTAGTAAAAACTACAAGACCTGAAAAAGTGCAGTAAGTACTGCAGTAAAAAGTTAAACATTTAACAGCTTTTAAACAGAAGATGATGCCGAAACAAAAACTCTCTTATGGTACTATAGAGTACATGAGGAAGGCTGGATGTCATCCAACTTAATGAAGGAATGCATCAAACAGTATGGAACTGCTGGTCAGATTCTCTCCTACATAAAAAGTAACTATTAATCTCGGACATTTTTGTGGGGATTTCATGGAAGATGAAGGGAGAGGACTCACTTTTATTGTCATTATTCCAGGAGGACTTACATCACTTTACAACTACTGAGGCTTTAACTGATAAAGCAATGATAGTGAAAAGCTCGGAGAACTAATGCTCTCATTGGCACTGAAAATCATTATATGTGAGAAGAAGGACTTAATAGTAACGAAGACAATCACGGAAACAACTTGCAGACTGTAGCAGAAAGCAGTTCTAGAAGCCCTGAATGATTTGAGCACTAGGGAGTAGAAGGGAACAACAAAGAAATAAGTGAGATTCAAGTTGCAGGTAAGTAGAAATGAATAATAATTATTTATTGGAATATAGTTTTCTTTTTAGGAAATAATATTGTGATAGTCATCTGTAGGTCATTCATGAATACATTTCATTTGTTATGTTCTTATTGCAACCTCGCACTAAGAAAATTAATCGCTTAATTTTTCTCTTGATTTTCGAAGAATAAAATTAGCAAAAAAGAGGTGGAAATACAGTATCAGATTGAAGAAAATGGGGGATACACAGCTACAAACACTTGTTTCTTCTCCGAGATTTCATTGGCTTGGTTTAATATGATCATGGCAAAGCCTCTAGGGCAATCTGCCTAAGAGAAGGGATGCCTTTGAGGAAGACTTTATAGGGGTAACCAGCTAATATGCATGCTACACATAGAAAAACCACAAAAACACCCATGCAGCCAGCCCGTTCATGGGCTCGTAACCTTGGACTGAACTACCAGTGTTCAGCGACTTTACCATTCAGCCACTATTGGGACTCTCTGAAATTTGAATCCAAGCCAAAACATACGGCAGCCAACACCACAAATTTCAGTATCAACCAGAACAGCATTCTTACTGATGAGAAAAATTTTGAAAGGATAATAATTTGAGACAAAAAAAAGAGGTAAAAGCGGCAGTGAATGAAATGTAAGAAGCAGTTGCAAAGGATGTAACCACCCATACAATAATGTTTCCAAAAGCTGTCTAGCAATAGCAAAAGAATAGTCACACAAAAAGACTATTCTGAAAAATTCATGACTATTTTAGACACTATTTTAGACAATCATCTAAAATATCTATGCATCACTATTTTAGACAATATTCAATGCTAAAGATCTATATATACATCAAATCCCCAAAAATTTGGATCTGATTGTATATATAAGCTTAATACTACACTTAATAAAATCAAACATAATCACAGGACCTCTGTGCCTTTCCAATAATAATGCACATTTTCTGAACTTCCATATTCTGCAAAAACAGAATATTTTTTTTAAACAAGGACAGCAAAAAGTACTTTGCTGTACGATTTTTACGGGGTTGCCACTCAAACAGGAAAATGAAATTCCCCAAATTTTCCAGGTGTGTTTTAAGAAGTTTCCAGTCTATCCGCATAATGCACATTGCTGTGACAAGAGATAAATTAATTATGGTACGACTTGAAAAACACAAAAATTTGCCAATTACGTATGACTTATATATATATACATAATCCCCAAAGCATTACTATTATAGCTATAATAGTTGTTTTCTCCACTGAAGACCGAGAATAGAATCTGCCCAATCTGGATTAAAAAATGTCTCTTCCCCCCCAGACATTTTGCAGCTAAACGAAAGAAAGAAATCTATTTAATGATATTTTAAAATAAATTCAGGTATTTTTTAAATAAATTCAGGTATTTTATATTTATTTAGCAGCACACATAAGCAAAAAATATGTGCATTAAATTTCGTGATGGTATGTCTTCATACTGCTAGAATTAGTTTCAGGATTATGCAAGAGAAATTTGCCTGAAATTTGAAAGCATTATTTACTAATAATAAATCAATTTAGAGAAAAGGCACACTAAGTGATCTGAATAAAATTAAAATAAAGATAATTACATAAAAATTGAATTAGAATAATCAACCATATTTTGGCAATTATATTAAATGGTTTCTCTAGGTGACTGCTTACTATTTTTTTTTTTTTTTATTTTTTTTTAATTTTATTTTACTGGAAAATGACAACTAAGGCATTTATAAAAAAGAAGGATTAAATGATTTTGCGGTAAATCCTAGTCTACACTACGGCTTTGGTACGATTTTGAAAATTGTCGCCAATACCAAAATGACCTGATTAATTGCTCATCATCATGTTGCCGAATCCCATGTGTACCATGCATGGAGGTTAGAATAGAATACATGAGCCTCCGTACTGTATACTAAGATTAAACTCATTTTGTTCTATATGAGAATACGTATTTTCTTTAGTTCGATATGCATTGCACATGCCCATGCAAGTCTCTCGATTCTCGAGGTTGCTGGAAACTTGCTTTGCTTTTCTAAAAGACAATCTAATTGGAGCTGCGAAAACTGGCTCTATGCCAGCTGCCCGAATGACACTCAAGCGATACATCACTTCCAACATCGACGCAAAACTCGCATTTTTTTGGGGGGATTGCCATATGAAATTCCCCAACTTTTCCAGATTTTGACTAAAATATTTAAAGTCCCTGACTTTTGTGGTCAATTTTCGAACTCCCTGACTTTTTCCAGTTTTTCAGGTAGTGTGGCAACCCTGTTTTTACAGACAAAGGATAAAAGGATTTCTCTTCAATTCCAAAAACATCAATAAAATAGAACTAAAAATATATACAGCATTTCATACATTGCCATCTTAAAAGAATCACATTACTGACTTTACTTATTATAGTTATACATGTGCTTTTAGTAATGTTCCCCCCTTTCCTACTGATTTAAAATCACAACACAGAAATTAAATATAATGCGGCATTTTTTATCTAGTAGAAATCTATAGTAGAAAACAATTTAAAACTAAAAAAAAAAAAAAGAAAGAAAGGGAAAAGGGGGGAGATAGGAGGGGAGAGGAGGGGGAAACTTCATTCTGAATTTCATATTTTGGAACTCATATAAAGGGAATAATCTCAAAATGAGAACACGAAACTGTCACTTAAATTTCAATGAATGCCCCATGTTGCAGCTAAATAAAAAGCTTTTAATATTTCATTCCAGCAAACCTAAATAATACCTGAGTAAATTAATACTTCCAAATCATTTTACATGAAGAGATAGCTAATTTATCATTGTATATGCAATAGCTACTATATATATCATTAAAAGATAAATAACAAATAAAGTTCATGAACTTCAATAAAAATTTATAAGTATCTTACTTGATACCATGAATATGCTCTCTTAATAGGGCTTCTCAAAATTGTGATCAACTTTGCTGCTGTTAACATTGCATGGGCTCTCATAGGTACTAAATCACCATCAAAATATGTGGCACTTTTTTCAAATAAATATTTATCAGTAGAATTTTTTGGAACAGGGAAAAAGTTCATATACCTAAAATAAAATTTAAAAAAAAAAAAAAAAATTAAATGAATAAAAATGAACTTTACATTTAATATTATTTTTTAAAAAATACAGTGAAATTTCAATTTACAAATTCAATTCATTTCTAAACTTGTGTGTTCGTAACTCGAGACACCACTTTTCAGCTGAGGATTTTTATTCCCATAATTTATTCACAAACTGAACTAACTGCATGAAATGAGGCATTTACGATCCAAGATTCTACTGTATATTTTAAAATATCAAATTATGTTAAATTAATTTATTAATGAGTTAAATCAATTAAATGAGGGATTTAAAATTATAGTTCTTACATTCAAATTGCATAGCACTTACTAGAAATATTTTCTAAAAATGTTTTAATAATTAAGAAAATAACTTTAGAATATTTTTTAAAACACTTCCTTTAATTATAACTCAAACTTGCCATACTGCATTATGATACTTAATTAAATGTGTTTATGGATTTATAAACCATTGCAAAAAGCCATCTCAAATATAAACAAAAATAGAAGTACCACAAAAACAGAATATATTAACATGTTAGTATTTAAAAAGAAAAAAAAATTTTTTTTATTAGTTTTTACTACTACTTTTTTAATTAAATTTTTAAAACAGTTATATTTTATTTACTAGACTTCTATTCATTATATTTTATTTACACACATTTTAGAAATTAAAAGAAAACTCAGTTAAACGTGGCCTTTAAAATTTCACAATACAAAGCTTTTAATGCAAGACAGGCAATCAAGTTTGGCAGTTGTACAGAAATATAGATACACCCCCATAAAAAGAATCATTATTCCTAATGCATATGTCTGAAGTTACAGAATCTGAAAGAAGGGTTTATATATATATATATATATATATATGAGGTGCTTCTACAATCAAAGCAGTAAACTTAACAGGTATATCAAAAGATATTTCATCTAAGCTTATGGTATCACACTGTGCTTCTGGAAAAGTGTCATCTCATAAAAAAACAGTGCGGGCAAATGCATTCATTAAAGAATAGAGAAAGAAAAGTACACTGTGGGATTTTTGTTAAAAATTAGAGGACAAATGCAGATGTAACTGCTAAGCTGAATAATATACTTACAATCACATGAAGTGCAAAAACAGTGAGAAGAAAAATTTCATAAACAGGAAATATACAGTGCAGCTGTCAATTGCTAAACCACTAATAAATGAAGTGAAGCTGCAGAGAGAATATAATGGTGCAACATTCATAAAATCTTGGACTACTACTCAATTTACTTTTGAAGAATCAATATGCAAAATGCTTCCAAATTGTGCCTCAGTTTGCTTGCAGAAAATACAAACACATCAAGGTCATATGATTATCAAAGACTGCATCTGCATTCTGAACAATGAAATTCACCTTAGACAGTGTTTTCTACAAAAGATGCTAGTTTAAATATGCCATTCCTACAAAAGATGCTTAAGATGACAAAGACCCAATTCATATATTTTATATCGTCTAACTATGATTTACAGATCAGGCTGATGAGGCTTCCCATCTTCCATAGCGCTTTCAATCACCTAATTTCTTTGCAGAATTGGTTTTGAGTATACTGATCTCTAAAGTGATCCCAGACAGATTCGCACTTTACATATAGCAAAGATGAATTCCTCCTACTTGCCTGTTTAGGAAGAAGATATTACGAAGCAGTCGTTTCAGTTTAAATTATCTTTGAAAAGCATAATTATATCATTATTCACAAAATACTTCCACCATAATTATAACTTATTAACCTTCTAAAACCGGGCCAAAATTCTCATAATATAGCCTTCAGACCGGCGCGATCCGAAACAGTTTTGCTCCTTCTTTGACATTTTTCTAATGAGAAAAGTCGTTATTCCCCCTCCATGGATGCAGTAAAATTTACGTGTTTGTCGGATGCTTACGTCCCATAGTAGAGGGGTTGCTAGATTTGCAATTTTTTCGATGATTATTTTGCTTTCATTTGAATGAAGTTCTAAATAAATAGTGCATAGCATAAATAAATATGCAGTACTGGATGCATATACAGTGCACTATTTATTTAGAACAAAATGTACGCAATGTTTATATTTCACTCACTATTTCTGATCAATCTCGTAAATAATTTGTGAATTTTTTAACTTTGTTTTCACTCTTCATTTATATTCGCGTATTTTCGTATTAGAAATTAGAAAACAAGACAAAATTTTACAAAATATAATAAATACAAACTAGCTGTGAAAGTCTGCAGGCTGGAATGCGATTTTTAATAACATATTTTCATTAACAAAATAATGGTAATGACTAATTTAATGAAATAATAATAATAATATTTATTACCATTAGATGATTAGAATGAGATTCAATACAATTAGATTTTGAAATGAACTTAAAGCAATAATAAAGCTTTACATAACAATAACAGAGCTTTAAATCTGCTTTTTCGATAATTTTGATATTATAATATAAAAAAGAAAATCCGAAAAACATTGGCTGCGTTTCATCATTTAACTTTAACAAATATTACATTGGACTATCAGGCAAAGGAGGTATATCTTTAACGAGAATTTTTATTTGTAAAATTGGCTTTTGTTTATGTTAGCAGAGAAAAAAAATCCGTGACCTATACATGCAATCATCAAAAGTATTTTTCAGAACAGTTTTAAATGTTTCATGAAGAATTAATTATACATCAATTTGTTTTCATAGGTAGAAATTTCGTCTAAAGCCATCATTATATCCAAAGATTGGAGTCTGTTTTATTTTCAATGAATAGTCTATTTGCACATAATATATTTTCTAATTTATTTTAGTAAGAGTAATCTTTCATGTTTTCAAAAGAATAAAGGCATATTGGGTGTTGACACTTACAATGCAAGTAAATTCTGTTTTTCCTATTTCTTCCAGCAATGTAAACGATTGCCTTGGAATATTTTCAAAGCAAAATTAAGAAAACCGTTTACGCCAAATTTTGCATAAAGTATCATATCGTGCATTTTTTTTATTTAAAGTGTGAAATTTTCTCTTTGAAAATATAAAAAATCATGAATGGAGCAAAAGTAATTCATGAGAAATAACTTTGAAATGCAATAATTCCATCGTAATATGAAATAGTGGAGAAAAGTGCAATACAGTTTATTTATTCATAAATAATCCTCTCATATGCATAATTTATGTACTGTCGATTGAGAAATATAGGTTAGTAAATTAAACCGGTTATTTCAATAATTTTTCTTTATCAATTTTTTTACGGGCTCTTCAGTAGAGCAGTAAAGGTGGCTGAACACTTGTAGCTCGCTCGGGTTTGAATCTCGGCTAAAGGGTTGGATTCATGGTTTTTGTGTAACGTAAATGCAAGCCAGCTTCCCTTAGAAAGTCCTCCATGAAGGCATCCCTCCTTTTATACAGGTAATTGTTGTGTGCTTTGATGTAATTTAGTAAGCGTACAAAATTAATCCAACCAAACCCGAAGAACGGGTTGATTACATGTGGAGTTTTAAACCAGGAACGTAAATGCGAGCAATTTTCTCTTAAAAAGGTTTACACGAAAGCATCCATCCCCTTAAGCAGATAGCGTTCGTGTGCTTTTCCGTAATCCAATCCTAATTCTCATAAATTTAATAGTAAATTAACATACACCTTATTACAGACAAAATAACAACCTTTTTTAAAGATATTTTCTTTTTATTAACTTGTCTGAATTCCCTTCATCTCTTGAGGAGTATAAAGGCCTGTTCCCACTGGGGTTTATTGAGCTAACGAACACAACTAACGTAGTCGACCCATCCCCAAAACCAGTTTTTCCCCACAGAGCAGCAAGTTGAAAAATCTGAACTGCAGGCACAGCGGAGCTAGTCGACACAGGGAACTGACTCCGTTAGCTCAGATAAACCCCAGAGGGAACGGCGCTTAAGAATTTCAGCAAATAAAACTGGCCGAAATTTAATACAACGTAAGTGATGTTTTGATTCAATTCAGAAGTAATGTGAGCTTTACTGATATTTAAATACTTTTTAGCAGATCTCACCCTAAAAGAGGGTCTAAAGATAAATTGATTTTATTTAGTTTACAATCAATGAAAATCATTGAAAGCAATCCTTGAATGAAATCATTGAATGACTGAAAATCACAAAAACTATTATGCATACAATTGTCTCTTATTTATCTCCTGATAAATCAGACAAAATTGCCTACATAATAGAAGCACTTTGAGAGACTTGATAGTTCTTAAGGGTTTTATGCATTCCAAAAAAAAAAAAAAAAAAAAAAATGTCAAAATAAAATCTTATTATTCATAAGTATAAAAAGGAAGTATACGATAAAAGCAGTTTTAGCTATTTTCTAGAAGGGCGTTAAATCTAAAAAATGAATCTATTCTTATGATTAAAAGAATTGCTACGATTAAAAAGAATTAAATCTGGTAAGCTTTATCATAGCAAAAGTCAGTACTAAAAAAATTAGAGATGGCCTCTACTTGATTTTCAAGTATATTGGCAAGAGACAAAACCTGCGGTTTTTGCCAAAATGTAGCCAAACTGATAAAAAGAGGGAAATAATGCGTAGCTGGCGGCTATTCTGACCAGCGACAATGGACCACCCCGAGATCTACAGATAGGCGATTCTCTAAAATAGGGAGGAATGCTGGTACTACAGTTGTACCATAGCCGGTTTTAGAGAAATTCATTTTCCTGGTACAACTGCTGTACCAGCCGACTTCAGAAAGTTAAGTTGTCAATTATATTTAGCCACCTTCTTAAAAATATCATTATAAATTGTAATTAAGTATCTTTTATTTGATCCTGCATAAACATCCATTTCATACTCCAGTCCCAGTAGTAACATTATCAAAGCTTAGAAGTCTGACAGACTGCAAACCTTGAACAAAGTAAACTTACCATATACTTGAAAATAACAAAATACTAAGACCAAACAAAATTCAAGGTCATATAAAATAATCAAGGTGCATGGGTGCAAAGATTCAAGATGCTTTCAAAAATTATTTGTACGTGCAAATATGTAGTAGTTCAGCAATCTTGACTCGAATTACAGATCAATGCTTGATCCTAAACAAGTACCTCTTGTATTGCTTTAATATTTAACGTCTAATGAAATCAAATAAAAATACAAGCAATTGCAAATACTGTCAAAATTATTTGAAACCTAAAAAATAAATTATCACCGGTGTTTCCTCAGCTGCATTAACAAGTATGAGTGAAAAATCACTTCTCAACTAGAAAGACGCTCCACAAATGCTCCACAAATGGGGCACAAGAGAAAATTTATGAAAACATAGCAAGAGAAAAAGGCAGAAGAAAAGCTGAACAAAGTAACATGAGATTCTCATATTTGTACTCATGAGATAATAAATACTTAAGACAAAGAATAAGCAGAAATACAATTGATAAATATTAGTGAATTTGAAGTATAGGATCTATTATAAATCTAAGCTATATAAAAAGTGAACGACTTTAATCAACTTACCAATCTAAACCTTTGTAATAATTTCTACCATTGAAAAACTGAACTTCTTCAAATGTTTCTGGGCTGGGATAATTACTAACAATGGCTGGATGCATAGATAAAAATGTATATAATGCAGTGGTTCCTGAAATTAAAATGCTTTATTATTTTAGGAGTATTAAAAACATAATCATATATGTGACAATCTTCATAAACAAAATAAGCTTCACATGACATGTGAATTTTAACTTTATAAATTTTTAAAAACTTTATAAAATTTTTAAACATGTCATATGAACAAGACTGCATAAATATCTAAAATCCTTTCTAAAGGATTAAAATTATTATTGAATTTATTAATTATATTTTAAGTGAAATTATTAGTCCAAAGGGGCTTTGTGCCTGAAGGACTATCATTTTTGTTTTGCGATTTTGCGTTGATTCACTTATAAATGTCCGTTTCACTTTTCAAACTGTTGCCACCAAATGTTAAAGTCCTGCATTATATTTGAAGAAATTAAATGATGAAAAATCTGCATAAATGTACGTATATTTCTCACATTGTGATAAAACGACGGTACCTAGAGCCATCGAATTTTGAATGACGTAATCCTACTGCAAACATGGGCATTTGGAAGCCCAAAATTGAAATTTGGAATTTATTTTTAATTTCATATTTTGCAAGTCTTTAATCAATTTTTTGTTCACCAACTCGATGACTTCAAAGACAGCAATGGCAATGTTGTACAGAAAAAAAAAAAACATTTTTATTTCCAGGGTGTGAGACTGTGTATAGGAAATTCTAAAGATAGGCTCAATTTAAAACTATTTTGCAATATTAATATTGCTCTTGAACTGAATTTTATGTTTTAAGTGTGAAGAACATGATATTTAATAAATAAAGGTAACAAACAAAATGTTTAAAAAATGCACATTTGGATGTAATTTAAAAATGCAGTTCACATTAGAAAAGCCAAATGAATGGAAGAAAAAAAAATTCAGTTTAAAAAAAATGAGTCATTTTATTTATTAATTTGAATATCGAATGTTTACTTTTAAATTACATGAGATTTTGGAAGAAAAAAGAGCATTTCAGACATAAATGCTAAAGTAAAATATCATATCTGATAACAAAACTCTGTCGACCGTGAAAACTGGTGGAGATCTTGCCAAAATTGTGCTAGTCATTCTGGCAGACATTTGAAAGAACAGATCACTCTTTACTTAATTACATAGTTCTCATACACAAATTAGAGGCATAACATATTAAATCACAGGTAAAAAATTTTCACATTGCACAGCCAGTGTTTATCCACTTTCATATAAATTGAACATTTCTTACTGTTAGGATCCTGTAATTTTTGAAAATATTCTCATGCTGTTGAAGACAAGTTTCATTTTTTTTAATGCAACTGAAAACAGATAAATAGCAATTTACTTTATGCCTTTTTTTACAAAAATTAAGCCAATTTATCAAGAATTAATCAGGTTTACATAACTAAGATTTGTAGTCCTACTTGTGTTTTACAGTGAAGTTACAAATTTCTTATTTGCTCAGTTTTACATACCCTCCCCACAAAAAAAAAAAAGAAGTTCATAAAATTCCAACAATATTTCACTTACTATTACTTACAATTAGTTGAATGCCAGATAGTCAAATGTTTACTGTATTTGAATTAAGTGCAACCCCAAAGTGTACATTGTTTCACATAAAAATTTACATGCATGCTGATGACAATATATCTCAAACAGAAATGGAAGATGGATATTAGAAAATGGTTTTAAAATTACAACAATGATAAACATTTTTTTCACTCGATTTCAATTAGGAAGTGAATTTTACGTCAACAGTAATCAAACATTCTTGAACAAATATCTCTTTAAAAGCAAAAACAAGCTTTTGCAGAAGCAACATCTATTTAGGTATAAAAAATTATATATACGTATTTCAGGAAAAATTTGAATTTCAACATGGGAGATGGAACAAGACACTTATACACAGGTCTGATAAAAAAAGATGAAATCCGAAGAAAGCATGAAATAGTATGATAAACAAATGTTTATTTGCGGCTAACATAACAAGAACCCAACGGTCGACATATCCATGTTACGAAATATATAAATAGCTCTTATTTGCTGCCCTAAATCTAACAGCTAAACTTTTACCATTAGTAAATAATAAAAACCTCAAAACTTTATGAATTAATTTCTAAAGGACTATCAAAAGCACTACTGCACTAAAAACTTTATGATTTAATTCTAAAGAACTATCAGAAGCATTACCACACTTGATCACATTCTAAAAAGGAAAAGGTGCAGAACAGCCAGTCACCATATTCAGTATACTATAAAAATAATCTGAATGTAACACATTTTTTTTTTATTTGAATATCTTGATAACACAAATATTTTGAAATTTCTTCTCATTGATCTCTCAACTATTTTCACAGTAATCACATCTAAAAATGAACAATATTTTTAAGAATATATCAAGTATCAATAATGGATATCTCAACAGTCATTTTCTCTTAGGTACCAACATCAACAAAAGATGAAATTTGTCTAAAACTATGGATGATTATTTCAGGAAGATTTCACTGCATTTTAACAATTTTATAATTTGTACTCCTCAAAGTTTGGTTTATCTGATTACAGCAAAGCACACTATGGCCAAGGGAAGGGATGTCTTAATGGAGGACTTTCTAAGAGAAACTAATTTGTATCAATATTACATGGTACCATGAACACCCATGCAGACAACCTGTTCACCAGGAATCACACCAAGGTCAAATTACTAATAGTCAACAGTTTGATCACTCAGCTGCTGGTGGGCCCCTACAAGGACTCTTACACCTCTTCACCTTGTTAGCAGGTCCTGGAATGTTTTACTGTTAACATGCTGCAATAATTTATATATATATTTATTTAATACGGTAAATCTCAGTTATCCGAAGTAAAATGTAGTATAACTACAGAATGGCCCATAAATAGCAGACCATAATTTGATATGCCATAACTTCTTGCAGATTCAGCATGAAAAGAAAACAGATGGCTTATCTTTTTTCCACTGCATGATCAACTTTTATGCTATCAGTGCCAAAACAGGCCTTTAATTGCAAAGACAAATTTTAATTTCCCATGACTATGCACACAGTTTATGAGGGAATAGCTGTAAATTTCTCAGTAATTACATCCTTCAGGTACTGTAGGGTGTTGATGTTGCAGGATTAAATTTTATCCTTCAAATAATCTCCACAGAATAAAGACTAGTGGAGTGAAGTCAGAAGAGCTGGTGGGCCATTCATTTGGCCCTGACATCCATTCCAATATCAAGAGAATGCCTAGCCCAATCAATTTCATACTCTTGCATCTTAATGAGAAGAAACTCCATCCTGCTGCCACCATAACTGATGAAATTGGTCTCTTTGCTGCAGTAAAGAGTAAACAGTGTTTCTAAGAAGCTCCAGGTAGCTCTCATCATTGATGCCATCTTCAAAGAAGAAAGGGTCAATGAACATATTGGAATGCAACACTTTCCTAAAACATGAAACCAAAACTTTTAGCACCATACTCAATTACGCCATTTGGATTTGGCTTAACACCAATAAACAAGTGAAATTTGGCTTCATCAATCCGCACTACATCCTGCTCAACCCATGGTCCTCTTCCAACATCATACGCCACTCTTAGCAAACTGGAGGTTGCAATTGAGATCATCTTCTTCCAATCTGTTGATGAAGCTTGATTGATAAGATTTCAATTTCACGTCTTTAGAGCATTTTCTCATCGAAGTGTTAGTTTCAACATGCAAGAAAGAGTATTACAATATGGCACTTTTACTGCATATTACAAGTTAAACCCGGCAGGAAATGTGCTTTGGTGGAAAGTTATGCCAAATTTAAATTGTGGTTTTACTACTTACGGCCAACCTGTATCATACATAAAATGATAAACTGCAGCAGTTTTGGATTTAAAACACAGGAAAGGAAAAAATTCACTAATCTACATGATACAGAATCATAATTAGTCTCTCTCCATGTCTTACTGTACATTTATGCTATTTTAGTGGTATTTCACTTACTGTACAAAAAACAAGTCTACTTTTTGAAAATCAAAAGGTGTATAGTAATAGTTACTTTTTACTAAAATTTGCCTCTAATTGAAGTTTAAAATAAAAACAAGCATTTCTTAATACCCTTTTACTTCCCTAAAAATGGCATTCAGAATTTTTGCTCAGCAGTTACTTGCTTTGTGGCAATATTCCACATTCATGTCGCCATCAAAATGAAAACAGTTTATTGTCTTCCAGTTGTTTGATATGAAAGTGCCCATTTCAACGTCATTTAAACCTTTTGTATGCAAAATTTTGCATGGTATTCTTGAGCCTATTTATATTAATGCACATACAGCAGTATGAACATTAAAGCTTTTACAAATTATAAGGAAAATTATTAATTACATTTACAGATTCATCATACGCAATACAAATCCTCAGTTATTCAGATTTCAGACAACCTGCATTTTATTACAACAGACTGCTAAATGTGCTGCACTTCAAAACACAATACTATTAAATAAATCAAAATACATACATGTAAACAAAAAAGGTGTGAAGAAAAATCATATTTTACTTTCATATAACTGCTTGTCTGAAGTGAACCTGTACAGTGAATCCCAAAACTCTTAAAAATTCTCTTCCATATAAAACTCCAACAATTAAAACTAATTAAGAATATTCACCTGTTTTTTGAGGGCCAATAACAAGGAATTTGGGCAACTGTTCACAAGACTTTGCAGATGACCATATAGCTCTGTGACGTTTGTCATTGCAAGGGTTCTGAAAAATAAACATCATGGATTCAAATGTTGCAAATGAAATTAATAAAGGATGGCATCTATAAACTACCACACCAAATTAATCAAACTATATAGTAGAATGCACTTAAAGAACAGACAACTTTATTATTTCATGTAATGCTTAATTACAAGATGCAATCATTTCATCATTAAATCATTAATGGTAGGTTCAATTACTTTCACTTATGACACTGACTGACTGAGCTTAGGCCAAAATTTTAAAAATCACTTATAGACAGCAAACTATGCAGTACATATCTACTTTCTCGTATTAACCAACAGAGATATGAATTCTGCTACACTGAAGAATTTTGCTCCCATGCTTATTTTATATTCATTACCACTATACAAGCAATTAATTCCCCAGGTCATAATATCTAACATATTTTCAAATCCTCCTCCTGCTATTGCTATAAGTTCATAATAAAATATCATTTAATTAGGCTTTTGAGGAATATTGACTGAATTTTCATCCAGCAACTTCATGATATTATATTTTTATCAATGTCACCACCCATTTTTTACTGAATATAACCATTAAAAGTAATGTGAAGGTTTAGCAACTTCTCACATTAGGACATTTAGAACTGCTGAGCTAATTAAATGACAGATAGGATTCTGACACAACATTTAATAATTCTGGAGATGAATTAGGGGGATACAATGAATATGCAAATTCTTTATAATTATTGTTTGAATTGCTGGCTTAGAATTTCTAAATATATTCATGAACATATTTCGTAAGTTTTGAATGCATAATTATTTATATTATTAAACTTCAATACCAGTGATTTATATAATTGTGTAGTATCAGTGGTACCACTTAAAGGTTTCAAAAGTTTACTGTGACAAATACAGACAGGTGCATATCAATACAAGAGATTCTCTCCATGTCTATACTCATAATATGCCCAATCACATAATTATAAACTTAGCTCCTAAGGGGCTATTTTTTTTTTTTTTCAGAGCACACTATTATTAGGCTATGGTAAATAATGCTTTCTTTAATTACATAAACATAGCTTTATTGTTCAACAAGATGAGATTCCTTATGTTTTTATGATGGTGCCCATGCTTAATTCGGTGCTCAGTTTCTTGTTGTTGGATTGAACATGAATTCCGAGATAATTTTTCTCATACTACATGGCTTCCTAACTCATTTTAGAATAACCCCACTTAATTTTTCCTTATTCAATTATAATAAAGATCCCGTATTTCAGTCCCCTTCACCACATCATGCTTTGCAGTTGCTGGTGTCAATTGTGACTATGGGATAATCGTCAGTATTAATGTCTGCAATATTATCAGAGATGCCAATATTGAGTACTTATAAATTACACACAAAACTTGGAGAGATTCATACACCAATATACAAACTTTGTGCTATATTTTTAACAGCTATTAAACTATAAATTTAACAATACCTGAAGGGAATTATCAAATACCCTGCATATAAAATATGATCAAGAAATAAATTATGCTTCAATAACAACTATTTCTCATTTCATTAATATAAAAGAAAATATTTATTCACATTCTCAGAATTTATAAGCTACTAAAAATGAAGATGAAAATTCAGCCAAAAGAGTATTACTAAGCAAAAAATATAAACAGCAGAAAAAAAGTTAAAATCAAAATATTTATGCTAATATTTAAAGATGTTAAAATCTATGCACAAAATATATTCCAGCCCACAAAACTTATGGAATATGCAAAAGAATTCCCATAACAAAAATATTCTAGCTCTTGATTTTATTGTAATAACAATGGACTAGGGGAAAAAAATATTCAAATGCTTAGCACAAAAATGAAAAAAGCAATTGTGGATTTGAGAAAACCTTTTTCACTGGTAAAGATGCAAACAAAGACAATCTAACATGTATAAGTAATAATGAATTCATTAAAAATGCATAAATTATAATACCATCCACACAGGATCAGATTCTTCAGGGTATGTCTGGAAGTACTTGTCAGCTAATTGTAAAGGTGGTAATGTGATGAGTTGAAGATTAGTCCAACACTGAACAAATTTTATGACTGATTCAAATGTATACAGAGCAAGGCGATCATTACCATAATTTGACAGATGAGTCATGAAAACATTCACCTGAAAATGTAATATACATCAATTTAATATGAAGTACATAGCTTTACAACTGAAAATAAAGAGGACTTAACAAAGTTTTAACAATTAATTTTTGCATATAATTAACAAACAAAAAGTAAAATTTGCATATACTAACTGCTGTCAAACAAATTCCTGCATTAAATAAAACAAAAGACTGCAAACATTATGTTATGACTAAAGATATTATTTGTTCTAATACACAAAATCCAGATAAAAATGCTTTAAAGTTTACAAGACCGACAAAGTAAAATCTACCCTATTTCTATGTAATTAGCAAAATAATTCTACTAATATTATTAACTTAAGAATCAAGAAAGTCTAATAAAGCTTTCCCATGAAAAGTGGGAGTAAAACAATAATATTCCACTCTGCAGTTCACTAATATAGTAGGAGATTCTATTCAAGACAAATAACGTTATCAATTTTATGTTAATTTGTTTTAATGAGGAATTTTCTAATTCCTCATTTTCTAATTCCATAACTGCTAACCTTGAAATCTGGAAAACAGGGGGGGGGCTTTTACCCCACTGTTACATGATTTCAAGAGAACACCAAATTGATTTAAATTTGCTTTATGATGGATTCATGTAATTAAATTATTTATAATGCGATTCTGATGCAAAATATATAAAGATTTAATTAGACAGTAAATTTTATGTTTTTGACTAATTTCATTTCATTTTGAGATTATTTTAAAACTTTTAAACAGGCAAAATCCTTAAATGAAAAGATTTTATTTATCAAAGTACTAATGAAACATAAAAAAGATAAAGTTAATATTTAATGCTTAAGATTAATTATTTAATAACTAATTGCAAATTTAAAACATTACACCATATATGCATTATAATAATAATAATAATAACCTCTTTAAAAATCTCTTTTCTCTAATAAAACAGTAATAATAATCTAACTTTACATCAGTTAGGTTACTATCCCTTCACTTAAGCCATGTATGTAGATTCTACATATTCTTCACTTAATGACTTGTGAAGTCATATTGGCCACTCAAGTTCATTCTGTAGTTTGAGTAGTGAAAGATGAAACCATATTGATAGGAACAAAATAAAAGGCTAAAAATTAAAAATTGGGAGATTCACTGATTTGCCAGGAGATGTGATGTAAACCTGGGAGTATTAAAAAAAAGAGAGAGAGAGAGAGAACTGGCAATTATGTAATTCTATTTAAATCTATGAAAGATGAGACACAATTAATTAGCTATTTCAAAATATAAATGCATAAAACATTACCAGACATTAAAGGAAGGGACATTTACCGGATTATAAACAAAAAGATAAAAAAGTTCTCCTCCTTTAATACTAAGTTCCAGTTTTTCAGGGCCGCCAGGATATTTGTCTAGAAATATAGTATGGGTATAAAGACCACAAGTTTGCCTTGGAAGAACCTGTTGAAATGACAAAAGGTAAAAATATAAGTAAAACAAAAAAAGTAAATGATTATTTTTCACATTAGAAAACACGCAAGATTAAAAATTAGTATTAAATATAACTCATTCTTGCATCAAACTAAAAACTTATTTATGATCAATTAATAAGAATGTAATATATTTACACATACATAATTTCAATACTTTACTCAAGAAGATTAAATAAATTACACCACTTTACATCTTATAATTTTACATACAACAGCTAACAATTTTGTGTTTTCCTCCACTGTAATGAGTCAAATAACTGTAAAAAACACTTTTGGCTCTGCAAATGCAAAAGTAAATTTTAAGAAATATGGTGCAAAATTGTGAAAATGTAGCAATTTATAAGCCTAAATTTTTGAAAATGTAGTAGACTAGAGCTATATATTTAAAATATAAAACTAAACTATATAAATAAAACTGATTTCGTAACTGCTAACATTATGCATATTTCTTAGCAAATAAAAAAAAAATCTTTTGAGACTTTAAAGTTTGCTTTATTTTGAAAGAGCAATAATCAGTTACCTTAAACAATTACAAACCTCCTAATATAAATTTAAAGCTTTACTGCATTCATCTGTATGCATACTTTGGTTAAAACATGGTTCCCTATATAGATAAAAGTACATATATTTACTATTAAAATTAAGAAACAGGTCTTAATTAAAATGCTGAGCATGTTCTTCTCCTCTTTAAATAAATAAAGAAAACATTACGGTTGCATAAGGACTTTTGTGGGCAAGAGTCATTATGTACTAGTTATGAGAGCAATCAGAATTTAGGTAGGGTAGCACAGAGTAAGATGACTGAGATGAAGCTTAGTAATGCAGTTAAACACTTCTATGTTCTTAACAAAATGTTTTTGATATATATAGTTAAACTAGTACAATATGTTCGCTCACTCCTTGAAAATTATATTTGCATTTTTCACATATTAATACCAATGCTGTTACATGTGTACAGATTCATAAATAGACTGAATGCACACAGAATCAAGGCTAGCTTGAAGTGCATGAATAATTCCTTACCTTCTCCAGCAGCAGTTAAATAATATTCCCACTTAATCACATGCCCTCTACATCATCCCAACAAGTTCATTGAAAAATGTGGGGATGCTCATAATATTTTGGCTCATCAGTTTATACCTGGACATTTTGTGATGGCAAGGAACATTAGTGATCTCTGGAACATCAGTTTCTCTGGAACGAACTGTTTTCCCTTTTGGTAATTCTGGTAATAATTTTAATTCCAATGGTTGCACCAAGATCTGCAGGTACAGTAATAGAACTTGCATGTTCTAAGTGAAATTGATTCCGAATATGCTTTATATAGCTTTCTGAAATTATGAAAATCTAGTCATCTGCTTTAAAATTTATCTACATTCCAATAAAACATCCTGCTTCACAAACTTTTGTTTCAAACTTCTTCCTCGGGTCAACTTCAGTTTCAATTAATATTTCTTTTTCTTAACAAAAAATAAAGCATCATCCACTTATAGAATTCAAAACACTTATTTCAAAAGCTTCTGCTAAAGACACATGAATCAGCAGAATTCAAAAAATGTCTTTTTCCAACAACTACAACTAGATGCACTTGTTTCCATTCATACACGGATATCTTGAGTTGAAACATTAAATTTTTTGTACAGTTTAAACCTGGAAGAGGTTCCATGATTATTGTTTCAGTTGTTGCAATGTACTGAAGTGGTGTTTCATTTCATTCCATTTTCAACCAATGAAATTTGTCAAGCAGCAACATTTTGTTAAAGTCAGATTTCAATTTAAAGTTTAACCTTAGATAACTTAGATAAGAGTTCAGTTTTTAAGCACTCATTTGAAGATTACAATTTTCAATAAGTGTGACTTGTGAAAGTTCCACTGTGGACAATATTGTAAACATTGCATTGTCTTTTTCTCATTCTACTATAACTGCTTTATCATTTTCTGGCTTTACCTTAATTCCTTGGTAACAGAAAATGTTCCTTTTGCTTTCAGAGCACAGGTAATTTGAAATTTCCATTTTTAATACTGTTCACTGAAATTGCTTATAGATGACACATCTATACTGGCCATGCTAACTTCCATTTTCTGAATTCAAAACTGAGAACACAATGGGTCAACTTAAAATTCATAAATAATTACTTTGTGTTAAACTGGTCTCCTTACCTGTTAAAATTACTAGCTTAAATAAAATTACTTAAGCTTAAAGTAGAATAAAAGTAACAGCAAAACCATAAACAATACATGCTACTGAAATACATTCACAGAATATAGACACAAAAATACAATACTGTTGTCAAAAAAGTACAAAGTAAATATGGTAACAGAATTACGGATTTAAAAATTATTCATGTTTAAATCATTAGCAGTGTTACTCTGGGAAATCTCTAAAAGTAATTTATATAACCAAAATCAAAGCAACAGACACTTTAAAATAAAATAAATATCACAGGCAATAAATTATTTCTTTCTCTCTCTCTCTCTCTCTAGATTAAATTTAATCAGAAAATCTTAATCATCAACTTGTATTTTTTTTTTCCTTCTATGATTAATATATCACCTTTTAATTTAGAAGTCAAACAACAAAAATTTGTGTTATATTTTCAAATTTTTACAGGACTAGTTTAGATGGTTTTACCGAACCATCATCCTCAGCTGCAAAAGTGCAAATGAATGAGATAAGATATAGTGATTAGATAAGACAAGATAAGAAAGCCTGGACAGGAGTCAAGCTACTGGCACCATCTGTTAATGAAAATAGAACTAAACATTCATCAGATCATCATCAATAGAATCGGATTTCATCAACAGATAGTAGTAGTATTCATCAACAGATATTAGACCAGTAGCTTGACTCCTGTCCAGGCTTTCTTATCTTATCTAATCACTATACAGACAAAAGTCGTTAATCCGGACTCATCGGGACTTCGGCGATTCCGGTTTATAGATCATCAGTTTAAATCTGGCAAGATGGCACGCAGAAATTATAAAATTAAAAATATGAAACCGTATTTATGAATAAAGAACAATTATGACCTAAAGGTATCAAAATTTACAAAAGAAAAGCTTAATATTTATTTGTTACTTTATTAAACATTTCTTTCAATGTAAGTTGTTTAAGTGCTTCTTTTCATGGTGATAATACTTTCTCTTTAATTCTATTAACAGACATAATTTCTTGTTTAGTTACAAAGTTCCGTTGTCAAGTCCTATAATTGCTGTGTCTAGAATACCGACTATTGTTAATCAAATTTTTTCGTTTTCAATAACTCTGTTACTTTTTCACTATCAGAAGCAATTAATGATGAGGAACTTGATAAATCATACAAAGCGGAGTAATCGAGATGAAATATACATTGTAAGGAATTATAGCAAATAAAATAAAAACATCTGCTCTGAAGATAAGGAGTGCGACAGATCAACTTCCATTCATGCGCACTGGCTGCAGTGTTAAAGATAAACAAGTTTAAATAAACAAATTTAAAGTTTAGATAAACAAAGGATATGGCCTTTATCCATTTTTGCAGCAATTCCAAGTTTGTTTAATGGACTTCGACATCCTTTACTTTCGCCATTTGTAGATTGTTCTCAGTCTTTATCCATTATTATCTGTAACTGAATTAGATCAACAGAAATTCATTCGTAAATGCCATTCCATAATCAAATTTGTAGTTCCGGATTAGTCCTATTTTGAAAAATTGTGCTCGAATGTCCAGTCTGAAAAAATAATAAGCCGAATCACCATCATTCGAAGATTAAGGAACAACGCATCTGAACTTAACTGCCAATCGCAGGCCGTACGTTATACTGGACACGCATTAGAGGAGCACTGTTTAACCCACATAATGGAGCCATGTTTTCATGCGCTGCACAAGTTTCATTATTTGAAGTACGGTAAATTGTCAGTATTGATGCTTGATGATCTTACCATTATTTTGACACTTTTGCAGATGGCAACCACAGTCAACATGAACTGGTAATTATTCAGAACTGCGGTTTTTTGTTGTTGTATTTTTTAATATGTCTGATGTATTAGCTTAAATATCCCTTTTAGAAATGTTTAATTTTTACAAAGCTTTCATTATGACTTCAAAAAGTGAAAAACTATCTTCAATTAATTACTAAAGTGACAATATATATTGGAAAACAAAATTTCATCAAAAAAAAAAAATTATCAAAAAAAAAAAAAAAAAAAAAAAAAAAAAAAAAAAAAAAAAAACAAAAAAAAAAAAAAAACAAAAAAAAAAAAAAAAAAAACAAAAAAAAAAAAAAAAAATAAAAAAAAAAAAAAAAAAAAAAAAAAAAAAAAAAAAAAAAAAAAAAAAAAAAAATAAACAAAAAAAAAAAAAAAAAAAAAAAAAAAAAAAAAAAAAAAAAAAAACAAAAAAAAAAAAAAAAAAAAAAAAAAAAAAAAAAAAAAAAAAAAAAAAAAAAAAAAAAAAAAAAAAAAAAAAAAAAAAAAAAAAAAAAAAACAAAAAAAACTAAATAAAAAAAAATAAAAAAAAAAAAAAAAATGAAAAAAAAAAAAAAAAAAAAAAAAAAAAAAGCTTCATGATGACTTTCAAAAAGCTTGTATATTACACTGTTATCTTATTTTCTTAGATGGTACCATTAACTCGTTACTTTTAAATATAAAAATATACAAGTAATTAAGAACACATAAATGAAAATGATGCCATTAATTTAATAACCTGTTAAACTTTTAATTCCATAAAATGTTTTAATTTCTTCCAATTTTACAAAACAAAACAAGGCATGGCCATTAAAAGGGCTGTTTTTTCCAGTCATTCAGGCACACATCATGAATGTCATGCAGTATGTTGAAAAATTTGTCATCATTTTTATTAATAGATCTCCACCGTGTTCCTGCACGAGAGCATGAAAGTGCCTGCGACGTGGTATTCCACATGTTGCACTGAATCTTCAGCTTCAAAACAACTAGCATAATTCAAGCATTTGAATAATAGTACTGTTTGAAGAATTGGAACAATTCCTTAGCTGATTTAAGGTTCAAAAATCATATCTTAATTGGCCAAGATCTTTATAAGAAGGCCATTCATCACCATGATAATTGAGCAAGGTATTATTCCTTCAGGATTATGAGCAGTAATGTTGATGCATTCGCACAGTGTGCATTGATGTCTCAGATGCCAGTCACGTGCTGCCACAGGAAAAGCAACGTCACAATGAGTGCTATTACGTTTCGAATACATTGCCGTATTGGCATGGAGTGAAGGTTAGAAACTAGTTATAAATGTATGCGGTTTAGAATGGAAACAAAATTTCATTTCGCACAAAAATCATACACGAATAACATTCTGCAATATATAGTTCGCAATTATATCATTGTAACTATCTAGTAATAAACTCGTTAGTAATATATACGGGGGTTGTAAATTAAATAGTGGCACCTTAACCTTGAAACTCTCAGAAGGGCGGGCATGCGCAGGAGAGCATGAGAGCGTGATGTAAAAAAAAAAAAAAAAAAAAAAAAAAAAAAAAAAAAAAAAAAAAAAAAAAAAAAAAAATTTGTAGAGTGTAAAAAAGTCGATCTGCAGTAGTTGAAGGTTAGTTTTTGTGGCGTTAAAAGTGAGGAGTTTGTTTCCATCACTCTAAAGCATGTTTTCAAAAGGTGATCAGGGGTCGTGGCTTAAAATCGAGGTTGCTCACGGCAAAAATGCAACAGAATGCTATCGAGAATTAGCGGAAGCCTGTGGCACAAATGCTTTACTGTATAGGACAGTAGCATGAAGAGTTCAATCATTTCGTTTGGGTCAGAATGAGACTGCGGATTTGCAACGCACAGGTCGGCTCTCCATTCCTCAAGAGCAGATTGACATCCTGAGCGATCTCCTTACCATAGACTGCCGATGGACTATCTGAGAATTATCCTTAGAGTTTGAACTGAGTCATCAAACAGTGTGGTGCATAATGAAGAAATTTCTCAACATGAGGAAAATTGCTTTCCGCTGGGTTCCACATCGACTAACCAAAGTACAGAAATGGCACCGGTATGCACTGGCTGGCACCCACTTGGAGAGATACCGCAATGAAGGAGAAGCATTTCCGCAGCGTATTATTGCCATTGATGAGACATGGGCATGACCCTATGAGCCTGAATTAAAGCATGAATCAAAATGAATGGTGTCACCAAGGTTCGTCACGTCCACAGAAATTTCGACAGGAACCCAGTCGGGTGAAGGTTATACTGATTGTGGCATATGACTGGGACAGTGTGATTCTTTTACATGCTGTACCTGAAGGACAAACTGTCAACACAGATTACTATTGCCGATTTCTACAGCACCATCTGCGTCTGGCTATGCGGCACAAAAATCTACGTTTATTGCACAACAATCTCCCTATCGTACTGCATGACAACGCTAGTTGCCATGTCGCAAACACGTCCTCTTTGCGACGGTTGGCAGTGGGAAATCCTTGGCAGTGGGAAATCCTAAACACCCCCTACTCACTCGACACGAGTCCCTTGTGATTTCGATCTGTTTCCGAAGTTGAAGGAACCTCTGAGGGTCACCGATTTCATGACGTTTCATCTGTCATCGGTCGCTCACACATCACACAGTGGGCTGGGTTACAGCTCTCGTGGTTTACTGATAATGCAACACCAAATATAGCTACCAAAATAATGCATATTGTTATTTATCCTGATTCACTTTTACTAGTATTGCAATATTGCAGAAGTAATTTTACCTCTAATGCTGATCAAGTGCTGGCATGAAGTTATAAAGTCCATGCTTAACCCTCTGAGTGTTATGAGATCAGCTTTATCCTGTCATCAGAAGTTTTGCTACTTGGCATATATTAGCTTATAATTTAAAAAATTTTGCTTTTTTACTTTCTTTAATAATGTAAATATCATCTTAATGAGTATAAGTTTATGAAAATACAGACTGAAATAAGTAATTATACAAACTCAATAAATGCTGTTTAAATACCGGTTTTCATGACGGATCTAAAATCCTGCGTTTAAGGCTTAGCAATCAATACACATAATTGCTTTTATTACCTTTTCTAAATTATATTTCTTAGAAGTAAGTCGGCATATGTGCATTATCTATTTCTGTGATACAGAAAAAAATGCAATCTGATATTGAAAATTTTCTTGCAGACATAATATTCAATCACATTTTTTTAATTACTATGTTTTATCAAAAAGTATCTGCCAGTTTTTTTATGACTTTATTTTACTGAGAGGTGACACTATTTCAGCATATAATTTTTAACACACTAAAGAATTGAATTATTTATTTTAATTTTATTAATTGTTTTTTTACCAGTTTAGTAATGATGTAATTTAATATAGAATGATTATGCTCATATCAAACATCATTTACAAAAATTGAATATCTTAAATGATTTCAATTAGAATTTCTCAAATGATCTCAAATGACAACATGCGGGCTCAATGAAATGTCTCAGTACTTCTAAAGGCCATGAAAATACTAACCTCAAAAATTTAATATTTTATCACACCTATAAAGCCTTTTCATGCTAGATAGTTAACTATATAATAAAAATGGCAAACAGATGTTTCAGCCTTTTTTTTTTCCCCCCTTAACTGTGTCTTTTCTGCACTGAACTTTTTTTCCTGTGAAACACTCTGTGTAAAAAAAAAAAAAAAAAAAAATTCAGTATCTTTTTTTTTTTACATTAGACCTTTCCTTTAGATAGAACTTTTTTTACCTATCTAAAGAGCAGTCGAAATAAAAAATTCTAGGAATAATATAAGAGCTGTGAAAAACGTAGATGCCACTATAATGCAAGAATGACATTTTTTTGCACCTGGAAAAGCAGTAATTAGTAAGGAGATGAATAAAATAATTTTAGAATTTATAACTGAATGCTAATCATGCCTGCACAATTTCTTCAATTCTCCATAATTCCCCAAATTGTCAGACTGGCTATTTAGGCACCACTATAACTTCATTTACTAGTATCTTCTAATATGATTTTTAAATGGTTACTAGTATTTCTCTTCCCTTTAAAGTTTAAAATCTCTCATCTGAGATGTTGGCACCTTTACCTCAAGTAAAGTGATGTGAGTTGCTACAGATGACACCTTCACATTATCTGGTTTTCATAGCAAATTGCAACTTCAACTCACTACTTTGACTTTCTTCCTTCACCTTTCTAGTAGTTGCTAAATAAAATAAATCTGAAAATCCAAATTTACATAACTTTGAGACGCACCCTTAAAAATTATGGTCATAGCATAATACATAAAGCAATTAGGAAAAAAAATGGAAAGGACAAAAGAAAGAAAACTCTTAGTTCTTCAGATCACATTCCAGTATCTTAAAGTTTTTTTTTTTTTTTTTGTTAATACCTAAGCAATGAAGCTCAGACTGATTTTCAAGATTTATTTTTTTGTCTAGACTATAGCTTTAAGAAGTTTTTCTCACTCCAAAGAGTTTCCTATATTAAAATGCAAACAACAGACTTTAGCTACTTATCAAATCATGAAAATTCTTTTAATTAAGCTTTATCATTTGCACAATAGTAAGAACTGCATATTAAAAATAAAACAGTTGACTAGTAATCTACTTGTAAATGCATTCTCAGATGGAATTCAACAAAGAATTCAAGTTCAGACACTTATTAACAGAATCTCCTTGAGTGAATGAAACTCTTATATAATCCTCAAAGCACAATACAACAATCAAAAATGAAGGTGTGCGTTGAGTGAGCTCTACTCTCCTGAATGGCATGTTTTGAAAAATGGTGTACTGAGAGGCATAAGATGAATGTTAGTCATAGGAAAGGTATATAAGCAAGAAGGCATCATAAGTTAAGAAATCAAACTTAGTGAGCCATGCATAAAACTGCCATGTTGCTATGGTCTAGTTACTGTTTCCATATGATGGAAGGACTAGAATAGGCCATGTCACATGTGGGTTAACAATGAAGTGATTTATTATATGTTGATTAGAAAAGTGGTTCCATCTTCCATCAATGTAAATTCTGAAGCATCAACTTTCCATCATCTAGTACTGAACACCAAAATTTAGAAATTCCCTGGTATGTATAACAGCAACTGCACTACAATACATTGTGGATCCAAGCACAAAAGACAAGATTTTGTTTCTGAGAATAAGTGAGGACTATAAACCTCTATGTCCAGTCAGATAATTAAAGCCATTAAGCAGCACCATTCACTTATGAAAAGCACAATATTTCAAGGCCTGGAATTAATAAATTTGGGAATATAATTGAAAAACATTATTGCCCCTCCTGAGGAAGCACTTTTTGATACTTATGACTTTTAATTGTTAAAAATTAATGCTATTTTATTTACATAATGAAAATAAGAACATCTGCTTTGATGTGTTGGGGAAGACTAAAAATGCTCCAGGAAAACAGTTCGTTTCATGCATAATTATTCTAAGAATTCCAGAACTTCTTAATGCCTTGTTTAAAAACTAAGCATGTGGAATAGAAATGTTAAGGGCATTCAAAATAAATAAGAAAGCAAAATAAATTCTTGAATCGTCTGTAGTAAAAACTGCTAAACTACTAAAATTCTGTAAACAGTACTTACTTTTGCAAATTCTCTATTTAATTTCATTTCCATTTCAAGTGCAGTTATGTTTTCAAACAAATGAGGTTGGCTATGACTCCACATATGACAAAACCACCAAAATTCTTCAGCATGCTCTGAAATTTCAAGTTAAGAAATATTCCAAATGATATGGCAATTTGATTTAAAATTTTTACAAACTTTATGTCAAACAATTTTGCCACAAATTAATATTTATTTGCCATGAATTAAGATTTTTTTTTTTTTCCCCTATAGAAACAGTTTTTTAAAAAATATAGGACAAAGGGAAAAAACGCATTGCAGGCAAGGAAATTATGCATTATGGCATGAAAAAAGAAACATTTTCTAAGTTCTTTCCATTTTTTCAAAAATATCATTTTAAGTATTACTTATATTCATACATTTTATTAGTTTATAATAGAAATAATGCCATCCAGATGGTAGTGTTTAGGGATTGAGCCTACTGTGGTACTGAGGGGCCTGGGTTTGCATCCTGGAGAAAGCATGGCTGTAATTGTCCATCCCTTCCGAGGAGGTGACAATGGCTCATCTATTACATGCTATACAGTAGACATCACTTCCAGCCTTCGTAATGGCCAAGATTAAGTTGGCTAAGTACCCATCAATGAAAATAATAATAGAAATACAGCTTTCTAAACTAATTTCTTATATTCCTAAGTTCTTAACATTTTGTAGTAACATCACTTATTGTGTTCAACAAACTACACAGTTCTATGAAATTATAAAGTCTACTGGTAAGTTCTGTCGATAATGTTATCTCAAGTTTCAACATGCATGCAGGTGTTCGAGACATATAGATGTCTCTCTTTATCACTGCATTTATAAACATCTACTCTTTAACTGAAAGAAAAGTGTGTCATGTTATTTATTAAGTGAAAAACAGATGTGTAAACCATGGCTACTGATAAAGTTTGTTTATGACACTGTATTCTATATGAATTCCATCAAGGAAGAAAATCTACAGAAACATGTTAAAATTTAATGACAATTTATGGTGGAGATGGAACTGCTGACAGAACATGCAGAAGTACCCAGAACATAAATAGGGCCTTTTGGACTAGATGATAACTGGGAATGAAAAATGGATTAAGAATTTTTAGGAAAAGGACATGCAGCCTGGACAACCTGCCGGAGTTTGAGCCTGAATAAGAGAATGCTGTGTATGTGGTATGACAACCAAGGATCAATACATTACAAGCTTTTCAAACCAAACCTAAAAAAAAGGCCCAGTTCGGAAAGATACTATCAGCAATGGACAATTTAAATAAAACAGTCAAAAAAAAAAGGCTACCAACATTCAACAAGAAGCACATCATACTGCATCATGATAATGCTAGACCAAATGCTGCTTTAGTGAATGTTCAGAAAATCGGGGAGATAGGCTTGAAAATTCTGCAGCAGCCATCATACTCCATAGACCTAGCACTCTCTGCTTACCACTTGTTTCTCTCCCTGTAAATTTTTTTCAAAGGAAAAACAATTCAAAACTGAAGCAGATGTCAGCCAAGCACAACTTGAGTTCCTCATCTCTAAGGACAAGAAACTTTTCAATAATGGTTACCTATAAATTAACATCACGTTGGCAAGAGATCATAAGTAACGAGACAAATTATATTGTACACTCAGCACTCACCCCCAAAAAAGGGATAGTTCTTCATTTCCCGTTCTACAGGGCTGGTTGATGAAATTAAACTTGTGTTTTTCATGTCTCGAAAGCACAACTTAGGATATATATTAGATTTCTCTACAGCCTTGTTCTCACATATGTATTTTGACACAAAACTGGACCTTTTCTGAAATGCTATGATTTTTCCCCCCTCCATATTTCGATTCTACGACTCAAATTATGTCTAAGTGCCAAGTTTTGAAAACATCACACTAGTAGTTGTTAAAAAATTAGCTCTAAGAAATTTTAGCTCCTCAGTATTTGATACATCTTTACTAATGTATCTTTTTTTTTATTAACCTTATTTGATACCTTCTTACATAGTTCGAGACTTAGGTTAAATCCAAATAAAATTCGCAGCTATTTTCTGATTATTTTTAAAATTCATACTTTTCAGTAATTTTTAAAAATTTTTCAAAAACATATTTGAATTATAACCTATAAAAATTTTGCCATCACTTTAAAGTAGATGCACTTGTAGACATGCAAAAAATTAAGAGTTTTTTTACTCAAAATTTCCAAAGATCTATGTGACTTTATATATTGGTGCATTTTGAAATTTAGCATATTTCTTGCAAATGCCATTAATGCCAAATGTGAATTATGATCTTTGTTAAAATTATTTTAAAGAATGATTGATGCACTTGTGCTTGCGCACGATAGAAAGGAAAGGAAAATAGGTTACTAAAAATTAAGAATTTTCTCAAATGGCACAAACTGAAAAAAAAATGCACCAAGGTAATTTTTTAAATTTTTTGGTTTCTCACCAAATTTGATAAAATTTAATATTTCCACAAAATTTAAGTCATAGAATCAAAACATGGAAAAGAAGAGTATGTCTTTTCAGAAAAAGTCTGATTTCAGAAAAAGTCTGATCCAAACACCTATGTTAGAATAATGCTATACAGAAATCTGATATAATATATCCCAAGTTTCCTTTTCAAGACATGAAAAATGCAAATTAAATTTCATTAATCGGCCCAGTAGAACATGATATATTGAAATGTTTTTTTTTTTTTTTTTTTTTTTTTTTAAAGCCCAAATGGGCGCTAACCCAGAAGGGCTATTGGTCTCTAAATGGCATTTTGTGTCAAATCCCTTTTCAAATTGTTGATACCAAATATTATCACCCCGTATTTTATTTAAAGAATATTATGGCCCTAATGAAGAATCTACATGAATGTATGTATGTTTTTTGCATTGTGAAAAAACAACGTTCATCAAATTTTGGATAAGACAGAGCTCCATCTGAACATAGGCACCTGGAAGCCGAATTTGGAATTTGTTTTATTGTGTATTTCATATTTTGTAAAACTTTACAGTTTTTGATTAAAAAACAATTTCAAAGCGAGCAGCAGCAATATTGTAAGGAATAAGATTTTTATCTCCAGTGCAGAAATTCAAAAGATATGCTGTTTTTAAATATTTTTAGCTCAATGTGGCAGTAGCCCACTTGAAACGTGTATGGGTCTGTAAATGAAAAATGCTCATTTGGGCATAACATAAAACCTGAAAGCTTCCAGGCTTTTTTCTTGTGGGGTGGGGTTCAAAGTGTATTATTTTTCTTTTACTTCCCAAATTGATGCAATTTTCCAGTAAATCTTATATTGTTAGCAAAGTTTTACTACCAAACCTACCTGCAAAAATGTATGATAACTGTTTTTGTACATCATGTTCTTAAAACAACAATGAATGAAAATTTCACTTAATATCAGAAGTCTTACAAGAGTTAATGTTTGGCAGCTTCATTCTAAATTATGCCCTTATGAATCAATTAATTTTATTAAAAAAGATAGTGAATGCACCTATTATCTTACCAAATAAATTTAGCAAAAATCAAATTTAGAAGTGAAATATCTGATAACTCTTAAGCTACTGTTACAGTCTAGCATTCCTAACATCTAAAACATCCAGAACTTTTACTAGGTACATAAAACTGTTGTGCCATCCAGAAACAATCTCTCTAATTCCACCTTAGTAATGACAAGGGTGCAAAAAAAATTTTTAAATGATACATCAACCTATTTTACTATAGCGGGCAATTACAGCTTGATACAAATCTATTTTTGTTAGAATGTGTTTTGATGGAATAATGTTAATTATTCTTAACCTAGATTTCAGATAAAAATATCTTATCATACTGCCTGCATTTCCCATCATTATTTGAAATTAAAATAGAAAAATTATTAAATTTAACACCAATATTAAATTAGAACATAATGATTTCTTCCACTAATTAAGCATTCAATGCTATATTTCAAAACAATTTTAAATTGCTGCTGAACAATTTGTTGATAAATACAAAAAAATTGCATGATCAACAACACTTATGTAATCCTCGCTGCTGCAATATTCACATGTAAAAATAAAAAACTTTTTCAGAAGACTTAAAAAACAGAATAAGTTTACAAGGATTTCAGCAAAATATTCTTACTCAAGTGTGCATATCTACTTTTACACAACTGCTTTCAATTCTCCTACCACATGCAGTATTTTGCAGAAGGCTACACACTGTTCTGTTCTGTTAAACAGTGTTTATATTTTGGAAATGGGCCCTTTTTGATATATAATCGATAGCTGTACTAACATTATTATTATTTTTTTTTTAATTTCTAATGGCAGATTACAAATAAAACTGTAGACAGAACAAGTAAAGATGAAAGAGAATAGTAAAACTAAAAAAAAGAGTCCACAGTATAATCTAAAAATCGGTTTTGTGTCCTGCCTCCCGGAGAATGACCCAGCACTAAGCACAGAGCAGTGATTCAGATGTGAAGCTTCCATTTCCTCATGAAGGTTGCAAATAATTGCAATGTGCTATTTTATATTTTTTAACACAATAAAGCTTGTAAAGGCTTGGTTCATATATTTTCCATAAATACATTTACACAGTGAGACATAGTTGACTTTTAAACACGGCATGATTCAACTATACAGTTTCACTGCTTATTTTCCTAAAAAACTTCTAGAGATTCTCAGTAGTCTGCGAAAATTTCAGACTGCTGAAAATTTTTTTGTTAGACATACAAAAGCCTAATCTAATGTCCATTATTTACATTCAAAAAGTTGTTATTAAATTTGCAGCAATAATTAACTATATACAGTCACAATACTATTATCTTGATATTCTATTGCTTGGAAATTCCTGTATGTGATTTTATTTACATACATGTTTATAAAATAAATATATATATATATAATAAAAAGATCAAATCTTAAATGCTCTCCCATAAAAAAAAAGAAGAAATATTTTATACCTGTCAGCATATCATCTCCAAGATTTTCTTCATCTGTGCCTTTGTGGTAAAATTTACCAGAAAAGCCCAAATTAAAACGAAAACCAGGTATAGTTCTTTTGATACGATTCTGAGCATTTAACAAGGCCTAGGAAAAAACAAAGACAGTACTTAGAAAATAATCTGACACGCATTAAAATGCATAACTTCAAAAAGCTATAAAGTTGGATATCAAAAAAACCTGAAAACAAACTTTAATTGATTTGAAAATTAATTTATGACAGAAAAACCAGCTAAATTATGATGTTCACAGTTTTTCTTTTCTGTAACTCTAGTTTCAAGTAATTAATTTTTTGAAGCAACTGCTTGCTTTATTCACAAATAATTAAATGAAATTATTAAAATGAAACAGAACTCACTTTAAAATTTTAAACAGATTATATGGTAAATGCTTTACTTGCATATTTTACATGTGCAGCTGAAGCTATTTCATTCTGCAGTCAAGAATATCTTTTATTATAAGAAAATGATTTAAGAATACCTTCAAACAGCAGTAAATTGAAGTTTATAAAATTTCAGAACGCTTATGCTGTAGGAAGCTTTTCAAAAATGAATACTTGAAATTACAATATTTTTTTATTCAGTTACCTGTACAGATTCCAATTTCTTTTGCATGGAACCAATGATTTAAAATGAAAACTAAGCATTACTTTAAAAGCGTGGGAAGAGTTTGGAAAGAGATAAGAAGGGGCGGAACAAGAAATGGGAGAAGAAAGAACTTAGAATCCAGTAAAAAATCAAATGATTCAGAAATTCTATCTTTTTCCAAGGATCTGCTTCCACAAGGAGCTTTCCACATACTTTTTCGCTTAATCAAGAAAAATCACTTGCCAGAACCACTACATGGATCATTTAAACCGTTCTTGTAAACCAATCCACCATATTCAAATGCAGTAGTAATCTTTATAAAAAGATTATTATTGCATTTGAATAAAGAAGAAGAAGCTACAAGAAGTTATCAGCAACTATGTAGAAACAAATGAATTTATTGTACCTATGATTATAAAGAGTAAGATCATAACACAGGCATTAATAGGCAAAGGTTTCCCTGCATCAATATGCAGAGTTACTATATTTTTACGCCAAAAGAGGAAGAAAAGAAAGACAGCCCCCCTTAAAAAAATCATCAATATTTTTAAGGGAAGGGCGATGCTTTACACAGTCTTTTGGTTTCTCCATTCATTACTATTTCATACAGCTGATAATATACACTTAAAAATGCATACAAAAGTGGAAATATGGCCTGCTCCTTGAAAGTCTGCCCAAACCTGATCTAAAGAAAGCTTAACACACAATTTTGTAGAATTTGTGTTGTAGCTACTTGATAGATAATGGAGGGAAAAAAGAAAAAAAGACCATGGGACGCTTCCTTTCCGGACAGGCATCCCATATACACGTTCTCTATGAATATCTCTCACAGCCGGGCATTCCCACCTAAGCATCACTGAAAAATGCACCTAGAGGATGGATGATGCATATGCACATTTTAAGCTGAACCATTTTTTAAATATTACTAAATGGCATCCTGTGTCCATTACTTTTGAACTGAACATAGTTTTAGGATCCTGACCTTCAGTTAAATCACATTCTGCCTACCTTTAGTGTCAGCTATTGGAGGTGAGGATAGAAAGTGTAATGTAAACAAACACAGCTCTGCTCTTTAAGTGGCCGAGTGATATAAGCATTTGTGTTTCTCATATCTCTTAGAATCCTTTTCTTACACGGTGAGGAAGGGTATACTCACATGGTAAACGAGCCAGTTAGTGATATGGATGAGAGTGACTATTCATTTTCTAAAGAGTTACAAAGCAATATTTCTAGTAATTTTCATAGAGGCATTTTGTCAGAGACTGAGCTCAATTAGTGCCTGTCTTTCCCTTCCCATGAAAGATTGCATTAAACCTTCTCGTAAATAGTTTTTCTTGTATTTTTTAATTATTTTTAAAGTTTATTAATGTATTTTGTCAACTAAAACTTCTAAAGAATTTGAATAGCACTTCCACAAATTGTTTCTCAGAGTAAGCAATTTTTTTCTATATATTTTTATGTAAAGTACAAGAAAAATATTATTAAATGCTGATTTTTAATGCATATGATAGCTAAAGTAATAATCTAAAATCGTACCAAAAATTATGATGCTAGGATTTAAACTCCTTTTGGAGGGGGGGGGGATTTATTTTCTAAAGTTAGGCTTAGTGATGTCAAACCCGCATCCCGTGTTACAATTCCGTTTGACTCTCGAAGTAACGTCTTAAACAAAAAGTGTGCTGTCTCTAAAGGGTTAAAGGTTAAAAATCTATGCATTAATTACATAATTCACAGAATCTGAGGAATTACTACCCTATTCATGAAATTTTTCAGTTACCACATAATGATGATATAACTGGGTTATTTTTCAGAAAAATATTATCATAGTAGCAGTAACGAAATACAGTATTCTAATCTTCATATCCTATAAATTGTCAAATTTTAAATACAGAGTTTTCTAACTTCTTACAATCCTTTTGAGGATTCCCTGGAGCCAACACTACTTCCAAAAAGCTAAAGAAAAGATGGACCTCCATGGTAAGATATCCACTGCATGTTCAAGAAAAAACAGGAATAAAGATTTTAAATTATAATTAACTTCTTTTTCTACATAAAAAATAACAAAACCATTGTTTTATTAAATATAGATTTTTTTAATGAAGTACATCTTCAGGCTTTTTTATATGAATAGAAGTGGAAATATTCATTACAAAATAACAAAACTACTGCAACTTACAATGACATCAGATGGTTTCATCCGTGTGGATTTTTCACCAACAAATATATCATCTATGTCAATAAGCAAAAACCTCTGGAGAGGGAGACTCAATTTCCCATGAGACAGAAAGGAAATAGCATCCAAGAACAAAAGCCTATGAATCCAGAACTGAAAACCATTTCCGAACAAGACACGTGATATGCCATCATAACTGCCATGATCCTACAAATAAACAATGAATTAAGAATTACATCATATTAAAAAAAAAAAAAAAAAAAAGAAATAATATCATTCAGCCATGTATTTTACCCATTTTCATCATTATAAGGTCAAAATAAAAGCCATTATATTTTGTAACACCTGAAACTGAAATTTTCCCACCTACTTTCGTAATTTCAAAAGTAAATGTTTTTGTATTCAACATAATACAGTCAAAAGTTGTTAATTTGGACACCCATAATCCGGAATGATCTATAATCCGGACCTCAAAGCTAAAATCTTTCTGCGCATGCACCGCGTTGACGCATGCTCATAGGCGTTTTACGCGTCCGCGCAAGACATTTACGACTGCGCATATGTGTCTGCGCAAGTGCAGAATAGGTTTTCGCGTCGGACGGCATAAGCTAAAATTATCTAATTATCTATTTCAGTTAATGTTGATGATTGCGTTGTTCCTTAATCTTCGAATTGGATCCGGCTTATTATTTTTTGCAGACTGTAAGAGCAATTTTATAAAAGTAAGCTTGAACTTTCGATTATGTCAAATAGAATTTCCGATGCTGGAGCTCCCAAAGGATTTAGAAAACGAAAGTATGATTCGATGTCCATCAAACAAAAAACGAATTGCTACAAAAAATGGATAAAGGTATATCCTTTGTTTATCTAACCGTTCCGAAATCTGTTTATCAATTTCACGCTGCTCTGCGTGGGGGGGGGGGCGTCGCCGCGCAATGAACTGGAAGTTGATCTGTCACCACTATCGTTATCTTCAGGACAGATGTTTTTAATTTATTCGGCTTATAATTCCTTATTAAATGTAGTATTTAATCTCGATGTACTCCGTCTTTGATATGATTTAAATCAAATTCCTCGTCATTATAAATATCACGAATACAAATCAAATAGTTTTCTGGTTGCAATTTTCTAATTTCAGCTATGCGTAAGGTACGCATGCGCGCATTGAAAGAAATGTTTAATAAAGTAAACAAATAAATATTAAGCTTCTTTTTTTTTGTAAATTTTGATACCCTTTAGATCATAATTGCTCATTATTTTATAAATTACGGTTTCATATTTTTAATTTTATAATTTCTGCATGCCATCTTGCCAGATTTAGACTGATGATCTATAATCCGGAAAAATCGATAATCCGGAATCGCCGAAGTCCCGACGAGTCCGGATTAAAGACTTTTGACTGTATGTATGCTTCTGGGACAAACAACAGAATTGTCTTTACATCACTACATTTTTATATTGTCTGGAAAAATTCACCTCTTAAGCATCAGTATTCCATACAAACTTCAAATTGTCATCTCATTTGGAATTTCTCAGTTGCTGCATAATCACAATGCATATATACACTAACAAATCTATACGATCTCTGTTTCCTCTTAAAGACTTTGGCTTCAACTTGAAAGCATTTGACAAAATCTGATTTCTGATGGTGGAAAATTTACATTTGTTATTCAGATTCTTTCAACCAAGTTCTTGTTAACTTCCCTTTCTGTCTATTAATTCAAAAATATGTAATATTTTATGTACCAAGCAGCAAAGAAAATTCACTTTTGACACAGCAGTTATTTCAGGCATATTTTAAAATATACATATCTCTCTTTTATTAAAATGAATCTTATTATTATTAAAAATGAGACAATTCCTTTCTTGTATTTCAAGAACAATTTCTTTCTAACTTTGAACTGACTATTCAATGTAGATTATTTGCAATATAAAACAGTGAGGACTGTGTTAGGCCTAAATGTTAAACTTCTCAAGTAAGCACTACAACTGCATAAGCAGATTCCAAGATTTAAAATTATAAAAGAGTTATCTGCAATATGACTTGAAAAAGAATTCCAGCTTAACACCTGAAAGCTAGCAATGATTTGCATTTCTGCAGAAAAAAGTTTTCCAGTAATAAGAAATACCTATTTGTGATATACATGATAAGTAAATTAAACAAATTAGTTAATATAAAATCAAAAACTTTAGCATAAGAAATATTTACACGTCCATATCTACAATAAGAAAACAAAATATGAATGATCAGAATTCAGCATTCAAGTTTTGCTAAAATGTATTGCAGGAAATCATGCAAATATTTCATTCCTCTTCTTAAAATATTACTTACTTTATCAATTGATTAAAAAAAATTATCGTAGGTACTTATTTGTACATATTTATGACATGCAAATTAACCAGGAAATGCAAAAATTATATATTCAAGAAGCCAAACTTTGCTCAATTACAAACCAACATAAATTCATGAAAATACTTGGCTCCTTTTCTTTATAAAAAAAAAAAAAAAAAAAAAAAAAAAAAAAAAGGAATCCTTCTTTAGTATCTTAAAAAGAAAATCAGATCCTTACCTTAAATGTACTTAAAACTAAACTTCATAAGTTCTTTAACATTTAAAAAAAAAAAAAAAAAAAAAATTTAAAATTAAATAGGAAAAAATAAATAAAATTTCTTAATTCTAATCGTTTTACAATAACCTCCATTTTATCAAAACACAAATTTGTACTTTCTGCAAATTGAAAAAAATATTTTATTTTAGTATTAAAACATTATGAGAAAGAATAATCTTATGAAATTAGACAAGGGAGACATTTTATGCATATACAGTCAAAAGTCGTTAATTCGGACACCCATAATCCGGAATGATCTATAATCCGGACCTCAAAGCTACAAACTTTCTGCACATGCGTCACGTTGACATATGCGTGTAAGACCTTTACGGCTGCGCATGTGCATAATACGTTTACGCATGCGCGTTTAATGTATAACGGACGGTATAAGCTAAAATTATTTAATTATCTATTTCAGTTAATGTTGCAGATTGTGTTGTTCCTTAATCTTTGAATTGGATCTGGCTTATTATTTTTTGCAGACTGTTAGAGCAATTTCATAAAAGTAAGCTTGAACTTTCGATTATGTCAAATAGAATTTCCGATATATATTTACTAATATGTAAAGGATCTACAAAGCGAAAGTATGTTTTGATGTCCATCAAACAACAAGTGGAATTCGCTGCAAAAAAATGGATAAAGGCATATCCTTTGTTTCTCTAAACATTCCGAAATCTGTTTATAAATTTTACGCTGCTCTGTGGGTGAGGGGGGGAGTAACGGTGCGCAATGAACTGGAAGTCGATCTTTCAGCACTATCCTTATCTTCAGGACAGATGTTTTTATGTTATTTGGCTTATAATTCCTTACTAAATGTAGTATTTCATCTCGATGCACTCCGTCTTTGATATGATTTAAATCAAATTCCTCGTCATTATAATTTGCTTCTGATAGTGAAGTGACATAGAGGACGAAAAAAATTCGATTGACAAATTAGTCGGTATTTTTGACACAGCAATTATAGGATTTGAACAGCGGAACTTTATAACTGAACAAGAAATTATGTCTGTTTATAGAATTAAAGAGAAAGTATTATCACATAAACCGAAGCAACTTAAACAACTTACATTGAAAGAAATTTTTAATAAAGTAAACAAATAAATATTAAGCTTTTTTTTTTTTTTTTTGTAAATTTTGATACCTTTTAGATCATAATTGTTCTTTATTTTATAATTTTAATTTTATAATTTCTGCATGCCATCTTACCAGATTTAAACTGATGCTCTATAATCCGGAAAAATCAATAATCCGGAATCGCCGAAGTCCCAACGAGTCCGGATTAACGACTTTTGACTGTATTAAACTTCGGAAAAATAAAGCTTCATAATTCATAAAGGAAACAAATTCATAAAGCTTCATAAGGGAAACAATAGTTACTTCTGAGGTACTTTACTTCAGATACAGAAATTATTTTTTAACCAAATTCTAATGGGAATAAATTAGAAGATCACATATACTTACATACTTTGTATTAATTTAACTTAATAAACATATCATTCAATTACTTAAAAATCTTACACATGACATAAGGCCAAACTCTACATATCTTTTTAATCATACTTATTCAATTATAACGATTTTATACATCAAGTCAATTAACAACACAACGTAAAATAAGCTTTGCAAAGTAAAAATTGTAGTGATAAATATTTATAGGAATATATTCTGTAACATTCCAGAGAAGAATTCAAATTTATGAAAACACAGTTAACTATTTCACTAAGCAAAAGTCATTAAAAGAAAGGAGAGAGAAAGAGAGAAGCACAGTCATCTTTCAAGGGGGGGGGGAACTGACAAAAAAATACATTTAATAAACACATAACAAAATAAAGAATGACTTACTATTTTAGAGAAAGAAAGACTAATTACATTAAGCATACTTTGAAAAAGCTTGTTTGTGCTAAATAATGCTTATTTTTAAAAAAATAATCATATTTTCATCATGTTTAGTTTTTTAATAAATTCAGAATTTATACAAATAATTTTTTTTTCTGTATTTGTAAATTTCAATTACTTAAAATACATGTGGAAAGAAAACATACATGTACAACAGTTGTGAGCAAAGGGTCAATTCCTTTTGCAGCAAGGTAAGGTTGAAATGTTTGTGAACGTGCTGATGCGAGAGCTTCATATGTAGAGTGGTTTGGTTGGAAGACTGTCCAATCAGAGCCTGGAATGTTACCATAGAATACCTCACCAGCACGTGTAAGTCGCAAAACTGTAGAGTCACCATTGAGATGATAATCCCGGAGAGCCATATTTGTATGAACATACAATGGAAAACCTGTAAATTTCATTCATAAGTAGTTTGCAAAGTAATCAAAACTAAAACTCAAAGTGCTTTATGTAGAATTCTAGCATTCTGTGAATTCCTATAATCTATATAATTTTTTTTAAATAAACAAACTGAATTCTGATGCTCAGAAAATTCAGCATGGTAAATTTAACACTTTTTTCTTTATATGCATATGCAAATATTTTTTTAACAAAAAAATACCATAACTTAAATCTAAATTAATTTTTAAACAAAAATAATAAAGTAATTACATATTTTTAGCGTAAAAGCACATTTATTTTATCAGCTGTCCAGATGGGAAAGTGGTTAGTGACTTTGACTGCCATATCCGATTTGAATCCCAGAAAAGGCAAGAATGTAAATTTTCTGTCCCTTCACGGGAGGCAACAGTTGCCTAGCTATTAAGTGCCTCTATAATAAAGTGACCACCACTTCCAGCTTTAGTAGTGGCCAACACCTATAATGGCTTGTGCTCGCAGTTTGGAGAGGAGCGATTTATGTTATCACTGGAGTTATTTAACATTTTCCACATTTTTTTAAAGACAAATCCTGAGTTTTCGAACTTTTCTTTTTTAATAAATCCTTATTTTTAGTTGCATATTCTGCTGCCTTTTAAAACTAAATCTGAGTTAGGAAAATTTTTTCCATTTGGACATTTATTACAATTTGTCTTTCTCATTCTGCAACTCTGAAAAAAAATAAATGGGGTCTTGCTTTCTATACCCACACACTACCTTTATCTGAATGTTATGACTGTTCCATATTGGAGAGCCATAAATTAGTGAGCAATGATTTGTTTTCTTCCTTTTATTGTATATTCCTGAATTCATTAGTGTTTTGCTAGCCATTTTTTATACTATATGCTATCATCCTTAACCCCCCTCCCACACACATATATTATACAGTAACTTGTCATAAACTGACTTGGAATTCGTAATACATATTCCAATTAAAAAGAATGTTAACAGCAGTATATCAGTTCTCAGCTGGTTAACAAAAATGGTACAGAGTAAATTTCTAAGGACACTATCCTCTATTTAATGAGATAAAGAAAGCACTAGAGAATGTTCTACAATACTGTCTATTTGATATAATTTTACTAAATGTAGTAAATAAAGAATTTGTAAAATTTCATTTATTTAAAACCAGGTTAAATTACAAAGTAGAGCATACTTAACATAAATATTGATATTGGAAAAAAAAAAACTTAAAAACTGATTTATATAATATAAATGAGATATAATGTAACTTATTTAAAGACTTTGTTAATTGACGAAGACAAATAATAATACATAAACTTCTGCACTTTAAAATTGTTTTTAACACATTATGCTCAAAATAATGTACTTTACAAACATACTGCCCCCCACCAAAATAAATTTTTAATAATATTTATTGTAGCTATTTTGGCATAATTCACATGACTTTAGAATGCTTTCTGAATAAATATTTATTTTACAATTATGGAAATAAAAGAAATATATAGATTGGAAAATTTTTTCTTACCTTTCAGTTGAGCTCCAACATATGTTTCTTCCTGTGCTTTTATGAAACCAATTATTCCAACATTGTATTCCCGACAATATTTGTCCAGAAGCTCACGATTCCATTTGTTCATATGCAAATATTTTTCAAAATTTTCAAATACCAAAACAGCAAATTTTCCTTTATCTAGATTTGTAAGAAGGGGTAAACTTTTGCCAGCTATTTCCATTTTGAACCTTTATAAAAAAAGATAATTACAAATAATAAAAAAATAAATTCAGTTTTAAACAAAATGCAAAAATTATGGTAATTTCACATTACACAAAAACCCTTATTATAAACCAGAATTTCAAATAACATATAAATTAATTTTAAACTGCTTTCTAATGAGGAAAGTATTACATATACGTATTTTTTTAAATTCTATTTACTCCCTTTTACTTACAAAATTGTTCCTCAAAATAAATTAATCCTCTAAGCAATCATGAGATTTTTTTTGTCATTTTGTGCATATTAGCTTATAATTTAAGATATTTCGCTTTCTTATTTTCTTTTATAATGTAAATGTCATCTTAATGAACCTAAGTTTATGAAAATATAGACTAAAATAAATAATTATACAAATTTAGCTAATAAACGCTGTTTAAACTCATGTCTTCACAAAAGATACAAAAACTCATGCCACTCAGAGGGTTAAAATTATTTTAGTATTCAAAACATCAGTAGATGATTAAATACAAGTATATGCGAGCATGTGTGATATTTTAATGTGTAGTCGTGATGGCAGAGTGGTAAGATGGGAAGAAGATGTTGATACCAAACCAAGTTCAGCTAATGCCAATTATTTTTAAAGCAGCCATCATATTTTGTCACATCTTACGCACAGACATATATGTATATATATATATATAATAAAAATTACATAAATCAGCTTTATAATTCAGTTTAGCAATAGGCTCTTAATTCCTCATCTTTAATTTGAGTATTTCCTCTCTTTATTCTAAAAATAATAACTTTCCAGACTGTGCCATTTCTATATTAATCTATGCCACAAAGCTTGCATAAAGCTGATAACGTAGCTTATTCAGAACTTGAACAAGATTTTCAGAACTGAAACTTTTCTAATCTAAACTAAAACCTTGCTCTAGGGGATCTTCCATATTGCATTAAAGGCACACTTCGCTTCTGCCTTTGTTGCTGCTTAGATGTTATTTTGCTGTGCTCTCTATTGACACAGTATCATTGTCAATTTTCTGGAACCATTAGAGTGAATTGTGAATCAAGTGAATTGTGGCCACAAATGTCAATTTAAATAAAAGTGGAATTTAATCCACCTCAACTGCAAAGTTTCTTAGACATCATAAGCTCAATTAATTAGTACAAAATCACATTTCTTCCTCTTTGGTAATGCCACCTATGTGCTTCGTAATCAGAATTTCTGTGTTTCTACGCCTCAGTGTTCTTACATCAGGACTTTCCCCCCCCCCATTATACAGACACTACATACACACTCTTTTGCAAAAAAAAAAAAAAAAAAAAAAAAAAATCGAAGCACCATGAAGGAAGTGGTTGTTTTTGATGAAATTGAATATGTACGTGTATAGCTCATAAATAGATAATAAAATGATTAAAAAATCAAGGTCATTGTACCTGTTCATGGCTCATAATCACCCATTGAGTGTTCAAATTAGTAGTTGGTTGAACCACCCCTGGCGGCAATGCATGCTTGAATTCGTCGAGGCAAGGAGTGGTAGAGGTTCCTAATGTCCTCCTGCGACATGTTCTGCCAGGCATTCATCAGTTGTCACTCCGGATCTGTGATATTTTGTGGTGCCTGAATCTAGCAGCCTACCATATCCCAGACATTCTTGATTCGTAAAAGTTCTGGTGACCTTGCTGGCCAAGGAAGAGTATCAACCACACGGAGACAGCCCAGAGATATGTAAGGGGTATGTGGCCTGGCATTATATTGTTAGAAAATGGCCCCAGGATGATATGCCATGAAGGGTAATGCAACCGGCCACAGGATAGTATCAACATATCATTGAGCTGTTAAAGATGTACGAAGGATGACTAAAGATGACCTGCTCTCATAAGAAATAGCGCCCGACACCATCACACCAGGGATTATGGCTGTATACCTTTGTAAAACAAAGGCTGATTGGGACCTCTGGCCCCGTCCTCCCCAGACACGAACACGGTGGTCATCTGCTTGAAGAGTGAAGCGGGATTCATCGCTGCACACTATACGATGCCAGTCTGATGGCAGCCATGATGATCGGCTGCAACAGCTCTCCAGACGACTCCACCGATGTTGTGGGATCACAGGCGAATGTCTTAAAGGCCTCTGTGAGCGTAACCCTGCCTCAGACAAGCCCTGTGAGATGTTGGATGGTACCACGGGGGGTATAGACATGGCTGTAATTCATTGAATAGTCGACAATGATACCATTGGGGAGATTCAGGCCTGGTGAAAAATCCTATTTTGCCTTATGGAGATTTCTGGTTATGTTTTTACCACCAATCCTCGAATTCCATATCACAGATTATGTTCTTACTGCATTAATATAAATATTAACAAGACATAGTGCACAATAAAAATTAAGCTTTATTAGGAACTTCGCGCACACTGCCGACAGCCTGCTGTTTCGCTCTGCTCGCTACTCGTAAGAAACTTCTCCTCTAGGGTGTGCCACACTTATCGGAGGGGCAAGGCCGCGCTCCTTATCGCCATCACCACAGAGTTCCCCCCAGTTCCTTAATGGCTATTCAAAGAACGACATAGGTTATGAAATTATCTCAGAGTATCCGGTGCTCGGGTATTTTTACATTGATTACAAAATTAGAATAGATCAAAATGAAATTCAATATATAAAGGTATTGACACATATAATAACAGAAATAACAAGAATATGTTAGATATGAATTTAAAAAAATGTTTAAATTGTTATGTAAGAAGCAAGTTTCTTAGGGAAGTGAACATGTCTTCCCGATCTGGTGACAGTTGTGTCTTAGAGAGTTCGTTTGCAGATTTATTCTGCTGAACTGTCTTTAAGTCTTATTTGTTTCAGTTCAGGCAAATTAGAGTCCGAAAGCAAATAGGTGGTTTCACATGGTCTATAGACACAGTAGATTTTCAGACCGTTAATATCAATTGTGAAAGTTTGTCGTTCTAGAAAGAACTTTATGCGGACCTGTATATGGTTGGCACAGAGGTGGCTTTACTCGATCGACCGTAGTATACTGCGTAACGACTTAAGGTAGCACTTACGTAACTTTTTCTTGGCAATGTGCAGATGTTGCTATTGGATCAATGTTGCATTCGCCTAGGATTCGGATAATTGTGTGTCATACGGAGATATCTTAGATACGTTATCCATATCACTAGGCAGCTTGAGAGTTGTGCCGTACACCAGTTCAGCACAAGATGACTGTAGATCTTCCTTCGGCTGTCGAATACCAAGCATAACACTGGTAGTGTTCAGTCCAGTTATTGGTCTCGTGAGCCTTGAAAGATTTTAAATGTCGATGAAATCGTTCAACAATGCCGTTGGACATTAAATGATAGGCTGTTGTGATTCTGTTCGTACCCAAAATGCGCGTAAATTCTTAAAAAATTGCGGATCTCATTTGAGAACCTTTTATGATCGATGAGCAGCCAAAACGAGATATCCAACAGTTGAAGATGGTCGCAAATGTTCCGTTCTATCCGGGATGGGAATGGCTTCAGCCATCTTGAGAATCTATCTATTGAGTCAAAGTACACTTGCCTTTGATGAGGTAACGGTCCGCGAGATCCATATGGTTTCTGGAAAAGTGCATCAGGAAGAGAGAATGTGCCAGTGGTGCTTTGTATGCCTGATTTCATTTTTGGCAAGATTCACAGATTTACCCAATTTTGTATGAGTTTCATATGGGCCATCCATAACGAGAAACAAATAAGCTTCGTCGTAGCGCGATTCCTGGATGTGACGATTTCAGATGATTAAAGATGATCTGCGAAAGATTGAACAAATGGACGAGAATGTCGTTGATATGTCACAAAAATAGACATCGAAGATGGCACGGTAATTCCAGTTCAAAGATGATGTGTGTTTTTGAGAGTCTTGTACCCTGGACATGCGTTGAGCTCCGAAATTTTTAAATCCAAAATGAGATTTTTTAGGATCAATTTCGATTATTGAAAGGCGACAGCAACGAGTTTTTTGAACCTGCAAATGCCAATTAGTAGAGTACTGAGAATAAATCTAAATGCGCAATTGTCGAGTAACATTTTGAGGGTTCTGTTTTAAAAGCGTATATTACGTTTTTTGTCGTATAAATTATAAAATTTCTCCCTCTACATGTGTCGGAATTTCTTAATTGCGAATAAAGAGAAAATAGTTCCCAGCGTACGCGGCCCATTTCTGTTGCTTTATGAGTTTCTAGAGAAACTGCTATGGTTCCCATGTTTGTTGAGACCAACTGCATAGGTGCCGCGATTGCGAGTCTGAGGCATCTACCCAGATGCTAGCTGGGCTCCGGGAATAGGTGTCTCAAAAGGTAGCTAGCAATGCATTTTGGCCAATAAAGGCTTGTTTCAGCATCTAGTTCCAATTTAATTGTGGGATGAATCCGAACACGAGAACGAGATTTCTTATTAATATAGCCTTCTAACTTTTATTAAGGAGAAAGATAGTGCTGCTTAGGTATGAAATCTATAAAGTTAAAATGCCTAAAAATCGGCGAAGTGAGTGAGAGTGGAGGTGGGAAATCTAAAATACATTGACTTTGTCGGAAGAGGTTCAATTCCGTTTCACTAAGGAAAACCTCGAAATCAATAGACGTTGACCAAAGGTGCATTTTGAAACATTTATTGCAAATCCATTGCGAGTTTGGAAAATAAAGCTTTCAAATGCCTGCAAGTTCTCGAATCTTTAGCGGCTATGAGCAATTCATCGACAAAAGCGTAAACGCCTTCTAATCCCGGTGACTTCATCTTAAACGTTAAAGTAGCAGATCATTGCCAAGCCGAATGCATACGGGTACTTCGAATAAACAATGGTGGAATATGGCGGTTTGTGGAGGTAGCTGGGTTAATTGGATTGATGGTAGGCCTTACTCAGGTCGACATGACTAAAAATTTAGTACTTGCATCTCGCAGTAAATCGGCTAGCATGGAATGGGTATTGTCTTTTATCGTTTGAGAGTTCAATGCTCGATAATCTCCACAGGTCTCATTCCAGACTTCCCTTTT